ACCTTTGTGTTTCTAGTCTCTTTGAAGTGCTGAACTAAATCTGTTGCCTTTTAAGATGAAGAGCTGTAGTGGCTTTTTCCTCTTTGTTCTCCCCCTCATACATCTAAGCGTTTCTGGAGTGGGATGTTTCAGAAATGTTTATCACTTGTGTGAAAAGAACTCTTTTCTCTGCTGTTGTTAGCTTCCAAGAAGCAGCACTGAAAATCAGAGCAAACCATTTGAGATATTTTTTGTATTGGTCTTTGCAGTCCAGTTATTTTAGTAGCTTTTGAAAACAGCAGTGGAAAAACAGAATATACACACAGTATACCCTAATGCTAGACATACTTTGGGTTTGAATTCAGTTCTGAGCTGCAAGGGAATTAAGTGTGGCATGCCTTAATTTCAAAGGTAGTGCCAAGACAAAAAACAAAAAACTGGTTTTCTTTCTCTGCTGAAAAGATAAATATGCATGTTTGTTATGTACCCTTATCCTTCCTTTAGTCTTCATCTGGAGTCAGGAAGAACCACAGAACATGGGTCCATGGTCCTTTGTGTCTCCACGGTTTGAAAAGCAGCTGGGGCTTAAGGTAAGATGTCCCCAGGGTGTTTTAGTCTTTAAAATGAAGTTTGAAATTCTCCTTGGATGCAAAATTTTATGGAGTTTAACAAAAAACCTAATCTTGATTCCTAAACCAAATGTGTGTTCTAATTTCAGCTACTTCTGCTCTTTATAGCACTATTGGTGAAGAGCAGGACTGGAGCTTTATTTTACGTGGTGTTCAGTCAAAGTAGACAGGGTAATGAAAGATCCCAAGTAGGAGGAGAATGCAAAGGTGCCATTTGCTCTGGCAGATCATGCACTATAAAGTGGTTGGAGCCATGGTCTTTAGGAGATGGGGGATAACTTCCTGCATTACTTCCAGCTGGGACTGCCCAGTTATCTGATAGCAGATATCACTGTGGCATCAGGACCTCGAGATGTGATTCTGTCCTTCATTAATCATTTCCCCACAACTCCAATTTCAGCTCCATCTTGTGAGCAGACCTCCTCTCCCAGCCCCAGCAGTCGGCATTGGAACCCTCCACAACAAGCAGCAGGAAGATGTTCTGACCCACACATTTATCTAAGTTTTCAATGGATGGACTGCTCCTGATGTCAGTCATGTTCAGTGCCTCCTCCTGTGAAGAACAAAAGCCAGATCCTGAAGACTCTTAGTTCTCCAAAATGAAAAAAAAAAAAAAGGTGGAATAAGTTTGGTAATGATTAAGCAATTTTCATGTTGGGGAATGCCTAACAATGAGAAGTGCCTGTTACTCCTGATACTTCTTTTTCTCTTATACTGTTTTCTACAAAATGTCTTTATAAAGTTAAAAATCCAGTCCAGGGGACAGATTGGTGAGGTGTCTGTGGAACACCTTATCTTGCTGCTTATTTGCACTTGACAGTTTCCTGGGATGGTGCATGTGTGGAAACAGGTTCTGTTTCTTCTCTTCCTACAGAAGTGTTAGTACTGCTTGATCAAATAAATGCTTCCCCATGCCTGGGAATGAGCCATTTCTATAGCAGAATGTCGTGGATTATCTCTTTTTTCTTTCCTTGAGGACCAGGAATGCAATCTGTTGTGGCTGTTGGTGCTCTTCTCAGTGTATGAGTTGTTAAAACAGGATTTCCATTGGAAGCACCATTCAGGATGGCTCCTGAAGGCTTCAGACACCACTGTTTTTCTCACCCAGTGGGTGAGAAAGCCTAAGGAATGGTTTCAGCACAGCTGTCATCAGGAGAAAGGAAAGAAATCAGTCTTTATTGAGAAACAAAGGATAAAGGACCAAAACACTGAGGTTAAGTGAGAGACTATTGAAACCAAGTGGAACAGGCATCCCAGGCTGATCCCAGTGTTGACTGCCCCACAGCAGCATTCCCACCACCACAGGATTTCTCCCAGCATTTTTCCTTTCCTGGTTTCAGGGTGAGGTTGGCACCTCCTTGCTTTTCTCAGTTACCTGTGCAAGCAATGCTTAAGCAGTCCAAACTCACTGTGAGCCAGAGACATTTTTGAAAAGAAACAAGTGGGGTTTAACCAGACCCAGCACTTGCAGATGGAAAGTCATGGTAGGTGAGAAAAAGCAGATCACAGGCAGGGTGTGCGTTCACTTGGGGAGACAGATCCCAAAATCATCTCTGAAGCCTTCTTTAGTATTTCATCCTAGTTAATTGACATACTCATTAATTAACTCCATGTGATCCAGAAGTTACCTCTGTCACCTCTGTTTTGTGATGTTTCACATCACTGCTTTAGTGCATCCATCACAGCCACATGAAGTCATGTTTCTCCCTCTTTGCTCCGGCAAACTGCACAACCTCCTGCACATCCTGAACAGCTTTATCTAATCAAGGCATATTCTGCTTTAAGTTTCTGCTGATAACTAGGAAAAGGAGGCTGAAGAGTAACGTTGCTTTGGCTGCAGCTGTAGCCAAGGAAGTTGTAGAGCGCAATCACCAGCCTTGACTGCACACCGATGATTACATAAACCCACAGTTTTAGTGCACACAAGGGAAGAACAGACCCCATGTTTTGAGTTTCACGTGGCCCAAACCTGACCTTGTTTCCCCCACAGGCTGTGCAGGTCTGGTTATCCAACCAAATAAAGGATGCTCAAGTGTTTTGACCCTGTTTGATCCTCCTGGTGGGAGACAAAGCTATTTCTGTAGCGCTGCTTGGCTCAATGCCCCCAGCCCCATCGGTGTGCCACGGAGCTCCCCAGGGATCCTGGGGCACGGAGGGAGAGCTTGAGCACAGCTTTGCTCATTCAGCTGACACAGACTGCCTGCAGAACACTGCTCTTGCGTGATGGATAACAGCTCCCAGGAGCAAGGCAAAGTGTGTGCTGACTGAGGGGCTCACACTATTTCTCCCAGCAATTCTGGATGCACACATTCCATCTGTGTGCCTTGCTCTTCTCTGCGTGCCGGCTGGGACATCCTGCACAGTGCTGGGTTGCTTTTGCTTTGGGGAAAAGAGAAGCAGAAATTAGATTACAACCATAGGATATCCTGAGTTGGAAGGGACCCACAAGGATTGAGTCCTGCTGCTGGCCCTGCACAGGACACCCCAAGAGTCACACCATGTGCCTGAGCTGCCACACAGGCTGAGTGAGAGCAGGTCCCCGGCCTTGGACAGGAAATTCTGTGGGTCATTAACACAAGGAGGTGAGCCTTCATGTGCTGTTAGATAGCAAGGAGCTAACTAGAGAGAGAGAATTACAGCATTTGTGCATTGTGTCAGGATTTTCAGAGAGAAGTGCAAGACTAGTAGGAAAAAAAATAAAGACGTGAAGGAATGCGCTCTTAGATTGAGCAGTTCATTAAAGGCAGCAAAAGCTCTCAGAAAGAAAACACACCAGGAAAACATGTTAAAACAAGTATTTTTATACCAGTGATGTTATTTTAGATTTAAAAAATACAGTCTGAACTTTGAAGATTAAAAGTTCTAAACACAGTTGTATTTTTAATAAGCCAAGAAAACAATACTGCATTTTTATTTTTTTGCTTCTGTCAGTGAAGAAGGTGATAAACATTTGTTCAGCACACCTGAAAGTGGTGTATCTGTGTTGGTATGGACTGAAGAAACCTCCTGGACCTTTTATCAATCACCAAAACAGTGGCCAATGAATTAGAGAGAGAGAAGGATTTGCTAACAAAACCTGTAATTTAATGAACTCAAATAAGTATGGCTAAAAATCTGAACAAAGGGTGATTACAAGAAACTTCCTGAAGCTCAGCTACTAACCCAGCTATTATTTGGAGATTATGATCTACAAGTACACTGCCAGGCACATTAATTATGAGTATTTTTCAGACTGTACAAGAACTCTAGGTGAAAGTAATTGCTATGGAGTTGCTCATTAGTATTTGTTAAGTTATGAGTATATAAAACCAGGAGAAAAAACTTTTCTAAGTGATTTCAGATAAGGGAAGCTATTGAACAAAGTCATTTAGGTATTGTAGCAAGGTCTTAGTTAACAGGATTTCTTAGGGAATGCAGAGTGCAATCCAAAATATTGGTTCAAAGGTTTTGGAGCAGCCCTCATGCTTCACACATCTTGTGTTCTCTTTTGGTAACTTAGTCTAATACAGGAAGAATTCAAGGCTGTACATCAGATCAGTTATTCAGGAAGAATAAATACTATTTTTAATGGTAATATCTAAATCTTGCAGTAAATTCTGATGATCCTAATTTTATATACCACTGGCTGTTGTAACTGAGAGCTCTGTAGGTGTGATACCTATGTTGGTGATTGAGGGATGATACTGGAATAGGTTTTCAGGTTCACTTCAGACAATCACAGAATCACAAAATCAATTAGATTGGAAAAGACCTCCAAAACCATTGAGTCCAACCTATGACTGAGCACCACCAGACCATGGCACTGAGTGCCACATCCAGGCTTTCCTTTCACACCCACAGGGACAGTGACTCCACCAGCTCACTGGGCAGCACATTGCAATGTTTAATCGCCCCTTCTGTGAAGAAATTCCTGCAATGCCCAACTTAAACCTCGCCTGGTGCACCTCGAGGCCATGTCCTCTCCCCCTGTGGCTCAGGAGCAGAGCCCGACCCGCACATGGCTTCACCCTCCCGTCAGGGACTTGTAGAGAGTGACAAAGGCAGCCCAAGCCTCCTTGTCTCCAGGATGAACAAGCCCAGCTCCCTCAGCTGATCCTCATGGCACTTGTGCTTCAGACCCTTTCCCAGCTGTGTTGCCCTTCTTTGGACACGCTCCAACGTCCCAATGTCCTTTCGCCCCGTGAAATTATCACACCCATCTGTCAACACGGGATTTGGATTGGGCTGTTAACAAAACACTTCGGTACCAAACCGCTCAGCCCGTGCTTTCCACCTGGTACTGCTGCACCAGCACCACGGAACCGCCGAAGCCCCGCAGGCGGAGCGAGCGAGGGGCGGGCGCTTCCCCGCTCGGGCCGGGCTGAGCTGCGGCTCTGAGGGGCCGTGCCCGCCCCTCGCGCCGCGCGGAGCACTCCGGGAGCGCGGTCATTCGCCGCGGCGGCCGCCCGCCCTCAGCCTGATCCCGCCGCGGCGGCCACCGCTCCGCGCCGATCCCGCCCATCCGGCTCCCCTCGCCTGGGGAAGGGCGCGGGGGGCGCTCCCTGAGGGCGGTACCGCCGTGTCCCCCCGGGCGGGGAGGGACGGCCCGTCCGCAGCGCGCGTCACGTGACGGCGGCGACAGCGACGGTGACAGCGCTGGGACCGCGGCCGGGCCGCCACCGCCATGGGCAGTGAGTGCGGACAGAGCCGGGAGGGAGCGGGCCGGGAGCCGGGGCGGGGAACAGCGGCCCCCCGGGCAGCGAGGGGAGGGCGAGGCCGGTGACCCGCGGCCGGCGATGCGGCCCCGTGCTCCGGGTGCCGCCGCAGGCAGGGCCGGCGGTGCCGAGCACCCGCTCCCCGCACAGGGTCGGTGCTGCCGGGCGCGGCGTGAGGGCGGGCACTGCTTCGTGGTGGGGTGTCCTGTTCCACTCTAGCCCTACTATATATATATGCACTATATACACAGTATACACGTATGGAGCATATATACCCTACGTACACGTATGTATGTGTGTATAAGTATCTAAAGGGCGGGTGTCAGAGGATGGATCAGGCTCTGCTCAGTGATGCCACCCAGTAAGACAAGAGGCAAAGGGCAGAAACTGATGCACAGGAAATTCCACCTGAACATGAGGAAGAATTTCCTGTGCGGTGACCAAGCACTGGAACAGATTGTCCAGAGAGGCTGTGGAGTCTCCCTCACTGGAGATATTCCAGAAGGGTCTGGATACATCCCTGTGCTCTGGGATTGCCCTGCTTGAGCAGGGAGGTCGGAGCAGATGAGCCCTGTGGTCCCTTCCATGCTGACCCATTCCATGATGCTCTGATGGCTTGTTCACGGTGGAGCTGTGCCACCCTCTGTGGAGGGAGGTGCACCTTCCAACGAGCTGTGTGAGGGCTTGGGATACATAGAGGAGACTTAAGTCACATCAGAGTGCACATGTAAACATGGCCCTACAACCAAAATGTTACTTATGGTGTAATAAATGCATTCTGCAATGTAATAAATGCATTCTCTTTGAAAAGGAACCAGTGGTGGTTTTTATATCTGTCCCGGTGTGTTGGGGCTGGAAATAATGTTCAAGTTTTGAAGGGCAAATTCCCCACCAAGCACATACACTTTGATTTTTTTTCCCTTAAATTGATTTCATTTTTTTTCCCCAGAAAAAGAGCTCAAACTGTTGAGCATTTCTGTGTTTCTAAAGGGGAAACTGTGAAGAGATATGTATTAAAACTAAAATAAAATCCCTCGAAGTTCCAATCAGAATAAATGTTGCACTCATTTAAATTACCATTTCTAAACATTTTTTAACAATTGAATTATTTTTTCAGCTAAATACTTCAGTAAACACAAGATGCTAATCTCTCTATAGATACCTTTTGATGTCAGTATCATTCTGTGTTTAACTAGCACAGACTGATACTAGGTCATTTATTTTTAGATGGAATACAATTCAGATCACTTCTGGTGATACATATAGCACCACTTCTCTAAAATTATTCCAGCTGTGGAAAAAATAATGGGCCAAATCTGGTTAGAACAAGAATTCTATTTCAAATTTTTGCCCTGTTTTCAGCTGTTTTAAGGAGAGGGTATTAGTTTTCAGACAGTTTTGGAAGCTAAATAGAGTTCTGTAAAGTTTTATAAATTCATAAATGTTCATTAATGCATTTTTCTGTCTTCTTGTGTGTGTGTGTTTGTTTTTCTGGAACAGTAAAATTTTTAGAAGTTATTAAGCCATTCTGTGCAGTGTTACCTGAAATCCAGAAACCGGAAAGAAAAGTGAGTGCCACATCATGTTCTTACTTTTATTAGTCCAGGGGAGGGAATATGGGAATATTCTAGTCCAGGCTCCAATACAGATACAGATGGGGGGCCCTAAAGTAGAACATATTCTTTGGAGCAGAGGGGAACCCATATTAAGGTAAAATATTATTGTGATGATGAATTCTGAACTCCCTTCTGGTAAGTTGTTCCCTTTGGTAATGATGCTAACTAATTTTTAAAAATAATCTTGATGCTAGACTAAGTTTATTTCATTTCAACTCCATGTGATCTATTTTAATGTACTAGGGTAGAGTCTTCAAGCTTTGTTTTCCTGTGGATCCCACTGTTGGCTTTGAGCTTCTTGTATATTACTTGGAAAAGGATTGTTCTGTAGATCAGGAAGCACAAATTTAATTCTTCCCTTCCCACAAGGTATTTCCTACACCCATAGCTGTGCTTGATCTTGCTGAGGTGGGGGAGTGATCTGTGTTACAGTTCAGGTAATTGCCCTGTTCACCTTCTGGATGTGACATTTCTCTTCGATCTGAAGTCAATGAACTCAGTTCATTTACAGCTGATCTCTCTCATCCTCTAGCCCTTGAAACTGCTCCCATTTCTTGGCACATTTTCTAGATTAAAAATAGGTAGTTTCTACAGATCAGAAAGAGACCTGCCTTGTCCAAAAAACCCCAACCAAACACCATTTTTGCTTTCAAAACTCAAGCAAGCACATATTACCCACTTGACAATCTAATCAGAGTAACAAATTGACTTACCATGATTATTGTCATGACTTCCATGAAAATTCCTTAAGAGGTAACTGTTGGGTTTTATGTTCTTAAAAGGGAAAGCTTAACTGGGAGCATGGCACCATCTCAGAGAATCCCCTTTGGTTAATGAGAGGTTCCCAAACGTTAGACCTGGATGTAGAGGTGTTTGTGCCAGTGACCATAGCTGAGCCTGCTGAGTTGAATGGAGAAGATACAGTAAAATATTATGATTATGGCCCTCTGGAATTGATATTTTCAAAAGACTGGGATTTAGCCCCTGGCTCTTTGCTCCATCTAGTTGCTTTGCAGCATCCTTCAGCTTTGGGATAGGTTTCTAAACAAATTATTTAGGCCAGACAAAGGTGTTTTTAGAGCAGGACTCCCCAGAGCCAGACCCCCCTGCTAAGGTTTGGATGCACCAGGTCTGGTTGTCAGGTGCCCATCTTTGTTTCTGCAGTGGGGAGCCATGGTGCAATCATTTGGTGCTGATTTATGGCACATCTGTCATTAGTTGGTTACAGCCATCCCATTTTTGTCTTGCGACATCAGTGAGAAGAGAAAGCTGACACAAGCCTACAGATAGTGATGTTTCTGTAAAGCTCACTGGCAGATGTTATTTGCCATAGAGGAAGAGGAGCTTCGTCTGTCCTTGTTGTCCATCATGAGATGAAGGATGCCCAGAGAGGTGCCAAGATTCCTGTCCTGTCTATTTGGGTCATTTTGTCTTTGCTGCTATTTTGGTCGCTGTCTAGACAATGGCTGCCACTTGCCAGCTTCGTACAAATTTACAGTGAAAATGTAATGGGGAATGTTTTTCCTAGGCTGAAGAGTCCTTTGACCATTTTCAGTCATGTTCCTTGCTTCTGTGTAATTTATCAAGTGATTTAGTTTATCAAGTGATCATTCCATGTAACTCTAATTCTCTGTAATTGATTGTTCTCTTGCAAGATGTCACAGGAAGATATGACCAGTAATGGTTTAGTGGATTGGTTTAAGGCCAGGACAAGAAATTTAGATAACCATAAAGAAAAAGAGATTAATTTTCATTAAGCACGTATTGATTATTAAATGAAGATGATGTTTTGATTCAGTTTGGCTCTCACTGAATCATTTTGCTGTTCTTGTTGATGAGGAAAGTGGTTTCTTCTGTCTCTAGGGAGTGTTGCTTTTGTGTTTTGGCCAAGTTGATTAGCAAAAGTGATTGATACTTTTGTAGTTAGTAGAAGGGGCTTGTATTTCCCTCATGCACAGGTTTGCTAAGTAGAACATACTGTTCAGAGCACCAAGATGATAATGCTGAAGTCCCTTCATTTTCACATGATTTAAGAAAAATGTCAAAGGAAGAAAATGTCCAATTGAATCAGATCAGATGGTGAAATTTACTGTCCCTGTGCTTGTTAGCATTTGTGGCTGGAATATTTTGGTTCCACTCTGTATTTTGCCATTCCTGACATATGGGTTTGGATGACTCCTTTTTCTTTTTTGTCGTCTTGATTCATAGAGACTTTTCCTTGTGAATAACTGCAATTTGGGTGATGCAGAATTCCTCTAGTGCTCATATTCACCACAGTTAGAGAGAGAACCAGAGCAGTTTTAGACCTTCACTGATGCCTCTGAAGCCAAGTTTAACTGTGAGGCTGTAGAGATAATTTGGCTGAGCATTTTTGGTCTTAGAAGTCTGTGATTAAAGTCTGAATTGTGGAGTTCAGACTTGGTAAAATGGGTCAGCCCTGTATAGTCTAACACAAGGTATTGTTTGGATTTATTTGCTGCTGTCACTATTTTTCTTTTTATAACTCTGTGCTGTAAGTATTTTTAGCATCTGTCCTCTTTTAAGAGTGATGCAATAGCAGGAAATAAATTAAATTACCTGGATTATTTTGCTTCTAAGTGCATGGTTTCACTCATAAAGATGTAGACTACATTCAGGGTTTTCTTTGCTTGAGGACCTGTGCTGCTGCACTGGTTTGTGGTTTCTCATTTGTGGGTGTTCAGTACCTATTAAGCCAGGCACTAATCCTTTTCTTGTTACTTCTCCACAGGCAGATTCAGTGGTTGGAGGCAGAGAGCTCCAACCATTTCTGCTGTATCTCTCTTATGTGTTAGTTCATGTCATGGTTTAGTAGCTGCTCTGCACTTGTCTGCAGTGACCACACTTAACCCTCAGGTTTACAGTCCCTGGAGGAGAGGTGGGAACTTGAACATAATCCTGCATCTCAGCTCTCTGTGCTCTCTTCAAGTGCATTTCTTTCTGTCTCATGCTTTGAGTAATCCTCTGACTCAAACCTAAATCTTGTGATTCTTCTCTTCTTGCACCTGGCACTAATTACAGGCACCTCAAATGTTGTGACTCTGAGATTCTCTCCAATGAATTAATGACTAGTGGTCATTAGTCTGGCATTCTTTTTAAAGTAATATATAACCTACATCAATAAAAATATTTGGGAGGAAAACAAAGAATATTTAAAGATCATTTTGTGGTGTGTGTCCATGAAAATAATGATGAATTTTAAGCTTCCTCTAACACCATTTGAAGAACTTAATTCTAAGTATTTTGAATTGATGTTGAAAACTCATGGTTCTTCTGGTTTAAATCACGGGTCTTCACAACAGTTCAATCCCTCTAAAAACTTTATAGTACTTTAGTTTAACAATTTCTAGCCTTACAAAACTTCTGTTGAAACCTAGAGCACTAAGTACTGAAGATAAGTTTTTTGCATTAATCTTTCATGTTTGCTCTGGTAAGTCCATGATTTTAGCCATGCTGTTGCTCTTCTGTAAATACCCACTGTATTAGAATACTGTGATAAAATATACTCTAATGACTGAATGTCTGCCAGTTCCACATAAGTTACCTCTGTCTCTCTCTCTAAAATCTGAAATCATATTAAAAATACATTCCAATGAGGAGTGACACTTTCAATATCTCCCACTGAATTCTGAATGATAACAGCGTTTGGTACTGTTGGGAGAATGCAGTGGAAGTTCTGCCTGCAGTGAACATGTTTGTGTCTCCACTCTGTCCTGTAGATCCAGTTCAGAGAGAAGGTACTATGGACAGCCATCACACTCTTCATTTTCTTAGTGTGCTGCCAGGTAGGTATCAATGTTGTCTGTGGGCAGAAAATGTGTGTTCTGTACATAAAAAGTACCCTGAAAGCATGAGATGTTCTTGTTTCATGTTGACCTACCAGTTTCAGCTTTTGTTTCTATGTTAAACTATTTAAAATTCAATTCAAAAAACCTGGTTCTCTGAAATAGTCTTTAGTGTTGATCATAGATGTTTTTAGAAACTAATGCTTTATATTTAGTCAAAAATTCGTAATGTTTTTTTCTTGTTACAAAGGTCCTATCAAATGATGGTAGTGGCTGCAGGGTAAACATCCAAGGTAATTATTTATTGAGCAGCATAAACAAGCTGAGCAATTCAATGCATTGTTCACCCTCTATTCATAGCTGCACTTAAATTTCAGCACTCACAAGGGTGAAAACTAAATCAAAGTGTCTTTTTACCAAATTCCTCTTCAACAAGCTGATGGATTGTAAAGATTGCAGGAAAATGTTTTTGTGAAATGTTTGAAGTTGACATGTAGAACTTGTTTTTTTGTGAATATCCTGGTAAAGTTGTGAGCTAAAGCCCTTTCAAAATGTCTGTCTTTGTAAACATTTATATGATCTTTATTAGTTGTAGGCATTCCTAAAATCTGTGCTTGGCTTGTAAACAGTGGAGGCTTTTTCGTTGTTCTTTAAAAATGTTTTTTTTTAAAAAAAAAACCTGGATACTGAAGAAAATGAGAATCCATGTATTACTTGATATACATTTTTAGGGACCTACATATGCCTTGGAAGATTCAAAATGAACTGTACATTTCAGCATCAGGGTTTTTGGCATATGTTTATTAATGCAGCCACTCCAGACTGCAGAGCTGTAGTTTAATAGTTTTTGTTTTCAGCTCTGAAGGACTGTTTAAGGGCTAAAACCCAGCTCTTGTACCTGTCTGTTTTTTGGAAGGAGGAAGTGGGAATGATACTAGAGCTAGAAGAACATGTAGTTTATATGGGTTTCCTAGCAGCTGGATATTTAGATAATTGAATTTTATAATAATTATAATAATTAGAATTTTGCATCTATATGAGAGATCATAGTAGTTGAGTAAGGAAAACAGATGGTTCAGACTAGAGTTTTCAGAAGTTGATCCCTAAGATTGCCTGGATTCCTACTCTACTGTTTTGGTGATTAGGAAGAGTTTTAAAGAGCTCAAAATCCCTCAGTATTGACTAACAGAATATTGGAAGTTTTGTATGAATGTGTTTAATATTGACAGTTCCATGTGGGATATTTCAAAACATATTTAAACAACTTATTTTTAGGGGTTTCTGCTTTTTCCTGTGGAAGGGTATTAGTTTAGTCCTGAGTTATTCCCCAGTTAGAGGATGAAAAGAGATGGTGTCAATACTTCTGGTTTAATTAAAGAAAAATAAATAATGTAACAGTTGAATCATTACACGTTAAGATTTTGTATTAAAGCATGCTAATTGTGTGTATCTGTTTAATGCTGTTGTGCACCTTGACAGATCCCTTTGTTTGGAATCATGTCATCAGATTCTGCAGACCCCTTCTATTGGATGCGAGTCATTCTTGCATCAAACAGAGGTTGGTACTCACTCCTTTCTCTGTTTTCTGTTGGGATAAAGAGCCCAGGAGGAAAACAGTTGGATCTTAAATTCCACACCACCCAGATGTCAGGTTGGAACACTTCGTAAAGTTCTTAACACAGATGGAATCAAAATTGGTACTTGAGCAGTGCTTCATGTTAGGAGTGGGATTTCTTTGAGATGCAGATGAGAATAATGATTCATAAGTTTGGGATTATTCCATTCAGGATTTTAGAGCAGTCTCTTTCTAAACAGTAAATGGGACAGGGAATCTTCTGACTTTCCAGTTAGGAACTGCACTAATGTACAGTGCAAGAGTGTTGATTAGGAAATCAACTGTGCAAGTCAGTTACACTTCATAATAGTTCGGCAGTGTTATGAGTGAATATTTTTCTAGGTAGGAAAGCTGAAGGCAGAGATGTTAGGCATAAACTTTAGCAAAACTAAATTAGCACATTCAGGAAGAGTAAAGTAGAACACAACCAAATGTATAAGATTCAAACTAATGCTAGAAGTCTGAAACTTAAGATGGGTGACCAGTCATGCCTGACTCTAAACGAGGACACTGATCTCATCTGTAGCTTGGAAAATTGGCTGGAAGGAAGAAAATCACTGGAACCCTCTAATGTGAAGGTACTGCTTACTTAGGAATAGCAAATTTTGTTACCAGTGAGGATAGTGAGGTAAAGAAGTTCTCTAGTTCGAATTCTCCTGCGGTGTTTGCAGAATTTGGTGTATGATACTAAATATGCTGTTTGCTACCCAAACAGAATGGTAACAGTGGCCAAGAAAAGGCTAGAGAAACTGAAAGCAATGAAAAGCAGGAGTGGGAAACTGAGTTTTCACTTAAGTCAACTGACTAGAAGTCATTGGAGGATGTGAGGTGAATCCTAAAGTTTTTGACATCTAATTTTCTGGCTGCTGGAGGAGTAGAGATTTCCATGACAGGTGGTGTAATATTTTACATGGAAACTCCAGGATACAAGTGTGAAAGAACCAAATTATAATAACTAATTTAATGCTTTCCCTCTTTGAATTATATACATTTGGGAATTGGTACCTCAGTGGCACAGTGCCAGTGAGTTGGCAGAGTTAAGAGCAGCTCAATGATGGTCTTTGTTTTGTTAAGAACTAATCCTAAACTCTCAACTGGAGCCAGTGATTCAAAGGGCAGTGTTCTCAGGAGCTGTGGATTCTGCAGCATTTTTTTGTGGTCTGCAAAATTAAACTTTTGGAAAATTTGCCATTGAAGCACTGACAGAATAAACAACCAGGGACAAGATGCTGTCCAGGGAAAGGTTCCTTAAGGATATGCCAAAAAAGCTGAGCTTCAGTGTGTGTTGGACTTCAGTGTTAGCATGCTTCCACAAAAATATTTGTAATTAAAAGCTACGTGGGTTTTCCATGCTGCCTTCAAAATTACAGGTTCTAACACAGCAGCCTTTTGTAAGGCTGTAACTGTCTTTGTTTTGTCTTTTGTACAGGAATATACATATTGGAAGCATCATTAGAAATATTTGTTATAGGTCAGGAACCTTTGAAGAGACCTAATGCTTTTGGAGAGGTGCTGGAATAGCAGTTGTTTTAATTTTTCTTCTTTTCTAGGTACTTTGATGGAACTGGGTATCTCACCCATTGTGACATCAGGTTTGATCATGCAGCTGCTGGCAGGAGCAAAGATCATTGAAGTTGGTGATACTCCAAAAGACAGAGCCTTGTTCAATGGAGCTCAGAAATGTAAGCACTGTTCCAATTGAAATTAGTGAGTGTATTTTTATTCTTGGGAAAGCAGCCTGTCTAAGTGATAATAGATATGAGATTTCTTTGGTAGGTGACTTCAGATTTTTTTTAAAGGATTTGCTTTCTCTCTGTTTTAGTATTTGGGATGATTATTACCATTGGGCAAGCCATTGTGTATGTTATGACTGGAATGTATGGAGATCCTGCTGAAATGGGTGCTGGAATTTGTCTTCTTATTATAATTCAGGTTTGTAAAGAGCTATTTTGTGTGTAACTGAGACTGGTTAGAGACAGTGTAGCTGGAAGGAAAAATCTTTCTATGTCTGGGTGACTTCAATTTATTATTGACTTCAATCATTATTTGTATCTGTGAGAGAGATGAGAAAATAATATATGAGAAATTCTAAATATTCCATAAAGTAGGAGAATTCTGGGATAGTAAATATCAAAAGTATTTTAGGTAAGAGTGGTGCTTAATTGAAAATACAGGAATTGGTAGCTATAAAAAATACAGGAATTCCAGTGGCTGCTTTTCAGTGCTATGGAGGAATTCTCACTAAATGGCACAGCTGCAGCTTTGAGACATTCTCCTGCAGAACAGAACAATAAATGCATGAACTTTAACTTTTTTTTTTTTGAAAGAAAGTTATTACTGAGTAATCTGTTTGCTGTGTCTGCCTTGAAAAAAGGCACAGAGGTCATTGCCAGGTGAGATGTGCAGGCATTGGTACCTGAGGGGTCAGAACCAGTGCATGAATGACATTTAGATGAAAGACTTAATGATCGCTCTCCAGCATGATGAAAATACTGAAGCAGGGAATTAATACACAACTCTTGACTTGATTTATTCTTGTTTCTGCTCAGTTTTGTTTCTTTTCTCACAGCTGTTTGTGGCTGGTTTGATTGTGTTGCTGCTAGACGAGTTGCTACAGAAAGGTTATGGATTGGGGTCTGGTATTTCCCTGTTTATTGCTACCAACATCTGTGAAACCATTGTCTGGAAAGCTTTCAGTCCCACTACCATCAACACTGGCAGAGGTATGTGTGCTGTTACAGTCAGTCACAACATGTTTCAATGGGTGTATACTACACATAAACTATCAAATTTTTAATGGTTGGCATTTTAAAAGAGTTCTAATGTGTGGTGGTTGGCTTCTGAAGTCAGTTTTCCAAATAACATTGAAGATGAAAACGTCTGACTTACGTGGAGATGAATACAAGTTTGCCTTTGCTGATTTGAAGTGCAGCAGTTGAAATGGGACTTCAGGCCACTTGAATGAAAATTTTTGGATTTCCAAAATGAAGTCATCTTGTTTAGCATCACTTAGTCCATGGAAATAGAGAAGATAGGAAATGCTGTTCACTCAGAGGAGCTGTTTGTGATCCAGCTGTTGTTTGTGGCTATAGGATGCTTTTGTAGTTGTTGCCTCTGAATTACTTTAAGCTGGTTTGATTCTTCAGAGGTTGCAGTCTCTTCATTCCACAGCCAGTCTTTGACAACATCTGGTTGTTCTGAGACCCCTGAAATAGCACTTTAAGATACAGCATCAAGAAATTAACCCATTTACTGCATTCATTTGAAATCCTGACCCATGTTTTTAGTTTGGGAGAATTGAATTCTTAGCAATTCTGTTGCATTTTTATTACTGTTCTTCTAAAAGCTATTTTTCACCTTGTTTATTATTTCTTCCTTCTGAACATCATCCTACTCCCAGAAAACAAAGGAAGAGAGTACTCTTTCATGTGTGTGACTTTGATAGTTTGTTGTTTGTTGGGGTTTTTTTTTTTTTTTGGTTTTTTTTTTTTTTTTTTTTTTTTTTTTTGGGGTTTTTTTTGGTTTTTTGTTTTTTGGTGTTTTTTTTTGTTGGGTTGGGTTTGGTTTTGGTTGGTTGATTTTTTTTCTTTGTTTGTATTTGTTTTTATTTTTTTGTTTTTTTTTCTAACCAAGAATGATAATTTTTTAGATCATTCTACATTCCATAACCTAAAAAAGTGTCCTATGTTGTGACATATTTGTTATGACAGGATCCATGTCCTATTGTATCACATTTTCTGTATGTCATACTTGAAATTTCAAAAAGAAAGGTACTTATTAAAAAATGTTTTAAATTTGGAGATTGACCTTTCTTTCCCTTTCTTCATGCAGGAACAGAGTTTGAGGGTGCTGTGATTGCATTATTCCATCTCCTGGCCACACGAACTGACAAGGTCCGGGCTCTGCGGGAGGCTTTTTACCGACAGAATCTGCCCAATCTCATGAACCTGATTGCTACAGTGTTTGTGTTTGCTGTAGTCATCTATTTCCAGGTAAAACTCCTCACAGCAGCTCTGCACATCGACCCTGGACACTGCAGTCATTGGGATAAGATAGGAAGGTTCAAGCCAGGTTTAATTTCCCTTCAGAGTAACTGAAGTATCTTAGTTTTGAGTAATGAACTCTTTTTATTTCAGTAACCATTACCTCTGTGACAGTAAAGCTGTAAAATTCTACAGCCAGGCCTAGTTGCACTCAGTGTGTAATCTCACATTCCATTGAATGCCATACACACTATGAGAATATTTTAAGTAAAACGGATTCTGGTACTGCAGTGGTTGCATCACACCCATAATATTCTTAATATTCATCACTGACTGAAAAGAATACTTTTGAACAGAGCTGGAGAACTTTGCTTCTTGCGGGTGTGTAGCTTATTGGTTTTTCCCTAATTTTCTTGAAACATTTAATTAGTGTTTCTTTTAAAATCTAAGTATCTACTAAAATGGACACAAAAGGAGGATCCGTATGGAGATAATGGGGGCAAGGGCAGCTAAAATGTAATTTTTTAAATGAGTTGTTTGGTCTGAGTTTTGGGGGGAAAAAAAAACAATTAAAAAAACCCCCCAAGACCAGGTTTTCAAATTCATGTGGCTTTTCTTGTCTACTCAGAAAAGTAGACCCAAGAAAAGTTTCCTGCCCCAGAAAACTACACAAGAGCCTGCTGGTAGCTGTCTAGTTCAGTTGAAAGCCATGACAGGCTTTTATCAACCCCTAAGATATAAAATAGATTTTACAGGAGTACCAGTTAGCAGATGAGAAACCATGTTTATGTGAAAAGAATGTAATGTTACTGTGAAAAGCAGTAACACTTTTAAATCCTTAAAATCTGTAATCCAGACTGTAGCAGAAAGCCTTTGGGCTTTACTATCTCAGACCTTGCAGTCCTTGTTTATCTAGCAAGAAGTGCATGGTCAGGAATAGCTTTGGGCATTCTGGGAATACCTTGTGTCTCTGAGGTGAACCCTGGTGCATTTGTGTTCTTTCCCACAGGGGTTCCGAGTGGATTTACCCATCAAGTCTGCACGGTACCGAGGGCAGTACAGCAGCTATCCCATCAAGCTGTTCTATACCTCCAACATTCCCATCATTCTGCAGTCTGCCTTGGTGTCAAACCTCTATGTCATTTCCCAGATGTTGTCTGTTCGTTTCAGTGGCAACTTCTTGGTGAACTTACTGGGACAGTGGGCAGTGAGTATTTTATCACGTTTTAGCTGCATAGAATTATTGCATTTTTACTTTGATGTAAAGTATTTACCTTGGTATTTAACCAATTGGAATTCTTACTTTTTAACATTTGTGTATAAAAACTGTTTCAAATATCAAAGAGGAATTCCTCTGTTAGTACAGCATAGGAATGTGGGAAGTCTGTGAAAAATAATTTATTGTTTTTTTCTTCCCCTCTCAGGATGTCAGTGGAGGTGGCCCTGCTCGCTCTTACCCTGTTGGTGGCCTGTGCTACTACTTGTCTCCTCCAGAATCCATGGGTGCAATATTTGAGGATCCTGTCCATGTAATAGTTTATATAATATTTATGTTGGGATCCTGTGCATTCTTCTCCAAGACTTGGATCGAGGTGTCTGGCTCATCAGCAAAAGATGTAGGTGTTCTGCTGTAATTGTTTTCAAACAGTGCTTCTGGTTTAGAACAGACCAGCTACTGACTGATCAGTTTATCCCAGTAAACATCAAGTGACCGTGAAACACTGCAGCAGTTTCATAAAATCATGTTTTCTGCAGGTTGCCAAGCAACTCAAAGAACAGCAAATGGTGATGAGAGGCCACAGGGATACATCAATGGTTCATGAGCTTAACAGGTAAGGAAATGCTGACTTCCAGCTGGATGGTGAAGAGTGCCGGGGAAGTGTCAACTAGAGCAGAGATTGTCAGAAAAATCTGATACCCATTTCCACTGCAAAAGGGAAGATTCTTCCCATTGAGCTGTTGCCTTCCTTAGTTATGCAAAAGAAGTTACAGCAGCAGATTAGAGATTAACCTGTATTGTCTTTTTTTTTTTTTTTTAAGTGACATAATGAGGGATTTTGAGTTGAATCTATTCCATGTTTGTAAAAGAAAGATGCCTTGGTTATCACCTTCTTCTTCCCTGTTTTTTGCTTTCTTACAGATACATCCCTACAGCAGCTGCATTTGGTGGTTTGTGCATCGGTGCCCTTTCAGTACTAGCTGACTTTCTAGGAGCCATTGGCTCTGGCACTGGCATTCTGCTTGCAGTCACTATTATTTATCAGTATTTCGAAATATTTGTAAAAGAACAGGCTGAAGTTGGAGGAGTAGGTGCATTATTTTTCTAGATGTCCAAATATTTCATGGTTTGTGTGAAAGGGAAAGTATTTTGACAACATGCATCATTTAGTCCAATAATGCTATTTTCTTTTTACTTGTTTTCAAGTGCTACGTGTCCCATTACTGTAATGGGCATTGAGGATGCCTGTGTGCAGCATTAGTACCAGCTGCCTTAAGAATAAAGTTTACATTATCTTGTTTAAGTATTATCTAGTGTTGCCTGTAATGCTGGAAACAATTCATCTACCTTGCTGTTCAGACACTACAGTGAGATGGTAAAATGTATCAGTTTGAGAGCCGTAAAGGTCTTTGCACACAGCAGTAAAGTGTTAAATTAATTTCCCTGTCCCTAACAGAACAAAAAAACCACCCTGAGTTCAGATTGCCACTTGCCAGTATCCCTGACAAAATTTATTTGTATCTGTATTTTACATTAATTTTTTATACTTTTTTAAAACGCACTTCCCCACCACTGAACTCAGCACTCCTTATTCCCTTGCCGTGCCTCCCCCCCGGCGCCTTTCTCTGGGCTCTGAGGGTGGCGAGCAAACCTTTCCCGGCGGCTGATACTCATCTCGCCCGGAGCTGCTCGGGGGATGTGCTGCGGCCCCGGGCCCGCGCGGGGCAGCCGCTGTCACACCGCCAGGGCGGCCAGCCCGGCAGCGCCGCTCAGCCGTGCCACTGAAACTTCATGTCCACTTCGCTTTTGTGAGGCTAAAGAACGAGGCCTGGTTCCTAGAGCAGTTCAGAGGAGGGAAAAGGGGGAACGGGGAGTTCCTGCTGAAAATTTGTCGCACTTTACAGCGGCCATGTAACAAATGTAAGCGTTAGACAATAAACTTATTTAATTAAACTCTCTCCTGTGTCTTGGGTGTGCCAGATGTAATTCGTGTGCAGTCTTTGGTAATTTCTACAATGCCTTGATAGGGAAGTAGGTCTAGAAGGCTCCCTTTCTTCCTCTTTGTTTTTTTTCTTTCTAGAATATAATTCTGATCAATTTTCAGCAGCCACAATTTTAAAAAAATCCCAAGATTTCCTCCCTTAAAATCATTGAGCTTTTCTGCTCTGCTGTAATCACTTTTTTCTCTTTGATGTTACATTTCTTGTATCTTCTCTCACTCTTAATTGAAAGTAACTTTGTGTTGTTTGTGAAGGTAACAAATTCTGAAGCAATTTTCTGTTTCAAAAAGTTTCCCTAATTATACACACTCATCCTCATCTATTTCAGAGGCAGTGCTGATTTTGATGTGTGTTTATTAAAACTCAGATCCTGACCTTTCAGCTGTGGTGGCTGTTTACATAATTAGTAGCAGCCCTCTGTGTGCAGATGCACTGAAGGCTTATTTGGGATAAGATGTATCTAGAAGTGTTTGGAGTGAATGAAGGCGCAGCCTGGGTACACACGTGTCCTCAGGAGAGGGGAAACTGCCAGGCTGTGCCCTCTCAGGGCACATAAGTAACCTCAAACCTTCAGCAGAATCCCCTGGGCCTGCACAGTTCTTGTTTGCACCAATAGATGGTGGTGTCATAATAATTTTTTTAGATCAGACAAACCAATTTTTTCTTTCTGCATAGTTTAGGGCTGGGAGAAGGAAACATGATGTCTAATCACAATAGGAAGTTCTTGAAATTGCCATTTCAATTACTTCAGCCAGAGCATGCACACAGTTTTCCTGTGCTGCTGTCCCTGCTCCTGTCACAGAGAATTACTACTTAATTGGATATTCTATAATTCTATGACTTTTAACTTAAAGACCCACAAGACTCATTGAGTCCAACTCCTGGCCTTGTGCAGGACATCCCAAGTATCTCACCATGTGCCCAAGAGTGTTGTCCAAACAAGTCCTGAACTCTGTCAGGCTCAGTGCTGTGGCCACTTCCCTTGGGAGCCTGTTCCATTGCCCAGCCACCCTCTGGGTGAAGAATCCTTTCCTGATATCCAACTTAAACTACCCCTGACACAACTTCAGACCATTCCCTTGGGTCTTATCCCTGGTCACTAGGGAGAAGAAGTCAGTGCCAGCCCCCCTGCTGCCCATCACAAAGATGCAGCCCACCATGAGCTCTCCCCTCTCCAGTGTCAGGAGTGAGTGCTGTGAGAGTGAGAGACCTGCACTCACTCTCCTGCCTCTGCCTCCTCTGGAACCATGGAGTTACAACACCAACCACGGTTACCTAAGCATCTTTGCTATACTGAACTGTAAGTGCAGAGAGAAATCTAGTGAGAAATAAGCCATTCTGAAAATTAAACAGTATTTTTATTATGGATATTCTGTCAAGGCTTGACAGAGCAGTTAGAGGAAATGCTTTTTGTCAGTTACATAATTAGAAATAAAAATACCAGAATCATTACTACAAACACTTTTTTTGCTCTACAAGTAAAGCAAATGACCTTGATTACAAGAAGAGTTGTACTTCTAAGCCATCCAACTTGGGAAGTTTTGAATTCCATTTCTCATTGTCCAGTTTTAGAACTTCATAAAAGGAACTTGGAGCGGTTTTTCCGCTGCGCGCTTCAGAGCCAACGCGTAAGTATAAACCCTGGCATCTACTGCCAGGTGCTCCTCTGCTACCAGTTCTGAAAAAAAAATAAATTATGAGATGCTGTTAAAACCTCACTTTTACAGAAAGGTAAGTCCTTGCTAAATGAAGATGTGTAGCATTCCAGACACTGCAAACTCCTCCTGCTATCACTAACTCGCATACCTGGCCAGGTCTCTCACAGATTTTTGCTTAACATACAGTTTTCCAGGGTGAGAGATGATAGCAGGAGCCCTGAGAAGGGATTCCTGAAGCTCCTGTTAGTGCATTGAATGTGTCAGCTCTTACCATCAATCCTTTGCAGCAGGTCATTCTTTGGAAGTGAAACAACTTCCACAAATTCTAGGAGAGAAGAAAAAGGTTTACACATCCTTAAATTAGTGAACAGTGAAGAAATTCACCTCTGTTTTCTGTTTCTTGCAATTTAGAAGGGGAAAGAAACTGATTTAATGCTCATCACCATCCAAAAGTTGTGAGCTTTCATATATCAAAAAAAGGTCAATTAAATGGGGAAAGGCAGTGACTGGGCTCACTAAAAAACATGTTTGGCAGAAAAAAAGCTGGAAAAACAGTTGGAAAAAAGTGTAGCTGGTAGCTATGAAAGATAAGAATCCCCAAAACAGAAACCTACCTTTTGAGAATGAAAAACACATTGTTGAAGAAAACTTGTTTGGCTTCTCCTGGTACAGGAATGGACTGGAGATGCATTTCAAGACCAAACCATCTCAAAGGGTTTGTTAATGATGAGTTTATGCTGGTTTACCCCTCCCCTGTCTCTCTGAATTACTTGTCTTCAGGGCTTGACCTACAGCTGTTGGGGGGGTCAGTAATTGGTATTTCCTGAAATACTGGTGCTATAGGTGCAATACTGGGAAAGATAATTGACGCAATAATGCCCCACAGGAATTTGCATCTAGGCCAAAGTCAACCTCAGGCACATTTGATTAGGGTCGGGAGATTTCCCAAGCACAAATAAAAACCAGTTTTAACTGACTTTTTCTAAGTAAAACTTGCCATACGAAGAATCATGACCTTATTGTCAATGAGATCACAGTCACATTACGTACCTCCATCATCTGCAAGTGAAAAGAGTAGTGAGTTAAGGGGTTGAAATACACTAGAGTTTACAATTAAAAAGCATTTGATAGCTAACTGACTGTGAGTGACACTGCAATTACTTCCAGAGTGAAGCTACAACTGAGAGTGGTATCTAGGTTCACAAGTGCCTATGGCCCTCACTGAAATTTGGCACTGAAGTGTTTTATTCTGAGTGTGCCAACAGCTGACACTTGATATCTGGGCTTCCCCAGTGAATTCAGCAGAGACACACTCATCTTGACTGCAGGATGTGCAGTATCCAAATCAGCTAGGACAGGAGAGATGAGTGGTGGGGTTAATTGTTTTAAACCCATTGTTTTGTTATCTTCTCAAAATTTTCAAATAAATGGTACAAAACTCACCAAGGTTTTGCTTAGGTCTTGTGTTCTCAGCCTCATCTCCATTAATGATGACACTCACGATGTGTGTTGTGCTGTTTGACATTCCTGGGTCCAAGCACAGAGCTGCCAACAAGCACATGGAGAGGATTTTGCTCATTTTTCAGAGCAGGAGTCAGGCACCTTGACATTTTAACAAAAGCTTTCACAGCAATGTATGTGATACAATAGGAGAATATATATTTGGCAGACATTTGTGCTGCAAGAGTAGTGAAAACTTTATCTTCACATATTCTTAGAAGTAATGTTTCTGTAACTCCCAGATCTTTTACAGATCCCTGGGAAGACTTGTTTTCACAGCCAAATGTACTTTTCATTCCATAGACTAAAGATTTACTGTGAACTGTCCCTTATAGACTTCCTCAGTCTGTTGGTGTCTAATTTTGCCATCACCAGTCTCCAACCTCTCCCAATCCCCAGCATTCAGTTGTACCCAGTAACTGAGAGACAAGACTCAACTGCAATGACACTTCCTCAAAATCCTAAATTGCCTCACCTACCTTCTCAAGTTTGATTAATGATCCTCATTTTGCCTTCATTTTATCTTATGTAGGAAGCATAGGATTGGAACACTCATGTTCCAAAGGATCTCTGAATTTACTCCAGTTACTCTCCTTTCTTCTTTCCAGCTGGAGAACCTGAGTACTGTCACCCCCCCACAAGCACTGTCACCTCCCCACAGCTGACACAAGGGTGACCTCTGCATCATGCAGCTTTTTTTTTCTAAGTTCACAGATGCTGTTCACAGAAGTACAGCAATTTAGACCTTTACACTTTAAAATGCCAAATCACAGCTTGAATAACAGGGTTTTGTGTAAAGAATCTTAATTAATAGCAATTTCCTCCCTACAGACATCAAACTTACTTCAGACTGAAGTTCAGCAACTGAATCACATCAAGGAACAAAGTTTCATTTTTACAGCCATGAGATGCTACCCTGCTAATCTGCACAGGCTTTCCCTTTGGTTTAGAGCATTTCAGACATTTAGACTAGCCATCAAGACAGAATTAGCTTTGGTGGGAAAAAAATTTAAAAAAGCAAAGACCTGGAGTACATTCAATGACTTCCCCCTTGTACCCAGTTTCTTCCTTCAGCTCTCGAAGCGCAGCACTTTCTGCTGACTCGTTTTCCTCAATGAGGCCTGGGAGATACATAACACACAAAAACAATTAAAAGCTTCCCACTTAACTGCAATATCCATCCTGAGATCTAATCAAGCTTTCTGGAAGAGAGGAAAGAAACATCCTCACTGCTCTGTCTTTACAGAGGGATAAGTGTTAGGAAGGATTCCAGTCCCTGGATTCATTATGCTGCTGCCCACATCCTTAACCAATTATCTACAGAATCATGATGCCTGCCCCAAAAATGGCATTAATATTCTCATGAGGGAAAGAAGCCAAATGCTTTGACTCTTAGAGAAAGGAGAAGTGGAGGGAATTTTCTCCAATCTGCTAAAATAAGATTATTTTGTTTTTTCATTATCAAATATTCCTATTTTGGAATAGCACATGGAGCTCAGCACGGTTTTCCAGCTAGAGCTTCTTTAAGATCACAGAATGAACTAAGTAGAAAAAGACCTTGGAGATCATCAAGTCTAACCTATAAAATACATACAACCTATAAAATACATAAAGACTGACACTCCAAGCACATCTAAACACACTGAACCATATGTGACTCATCCCAATGTTTCAGCCACTTACCTGCAGGAAATTCCAAGCAGTAGCCATTGATTGGGGGCCTGAACTGTTTCACCAGGACAATGCAGTCGTAGTGTAGGGTTCTCTGCAGCACTGCTATCACTGCTACACCTACCACAGCCATGGGAGACACAAGGACATGGAATGTGAGCATAGCAGAAAGTGAGATTTTAGTGCTAGATCTGGAAAGGAACCCACACACTGCTGCTCTGAGCATTAAATGTTTAGATGTCTGCTCCAGAATCCTGATTGATGAATTTAAGCTCTTTAAAACATGCATGGTGAGAGATCTTCAAAGCTCCCCAGCGAGCCAGAGGCACACAAACCAAGCAAGACTGAGCCTCAGGGAAGGGCTCTCCTGCCTACAAAACCTGCTTGAAAGGCTCTGTAGAGAACTCTCTCCATTTCTAAATCATGTCCCAAAGAGCCCCTTGGCCCCTAACAGCAGACCCAGTCACCAGTTTGTGATTTACTCTGTATCAGGCACCCCGGATATCTTAGGAAATGCTCCATCATTTTAAAGTGAACACAATGACCTTGGGAAAGCACTCCCACCAGTAAGGTTCTGATTCTTCAGCACTTCAGTTAGCCTTTCATTAGCTCAGGGTACAGCCAGCTCTGCCAAGCCACCTGTTCCACATCCTCATTCATTCAGGAACAGGTCAGCTCAAAATCTGCATTGCCAGCTTATCAGAAAGACTTTCACAGGAAAAAAAATGCAAACAGAAAAAGCCACCAATTCTTACCATCAGCTGTAACTCCCTTTTTGTTGCCAGTACGCTTTACAGTTTCCCAAGTTCTGTTTAAACAGAGAAAAAACCAAATGAGTACATAAATCATCTTCGACCCTTGCTACTTTCACTTAAAGCAAAATGTACCATCACACAGTGAGGTCTTGTAAGAAGCAGCAGGCCATAGTGCCTGTCATACACTGGCACTACAAAATGTCTATAGTACAGTTTTCTTTTGCCTACTTAAGGGGCAGAGAGAAAATAGTTAATTTTAGTTACACAAAAGATTCAATCTTGCTAATTTTAAGAGGATACTCTGCTGATGAACTGGGAGGCACTAGAGAAAGCAATCAGTACAGAATCTAACACATTAAGGGGAGGGAACTGAAGCCATGTTGTAACACCTACATAAATACAGCAAAACTAAAGAGTACAAAAGAATTGGACAGAAAGGATAACATACAAGAGGACATTAATTTGTCAATAATATGCAGGATCCAGCACCATCAGCAAGGAAAAAGGAGCCCATAATGAAGAAGCAGAAAAGCCACAGGATGGACTCTGGTTGTCACAGAGTAGTTGCACAGCTGGAACTTGCTTCTGTGTAGCATCTTTCCAAAGAACTGGAAATGCAGCAAATCCAGGTCAATGTGCCCAAAAGGGTTTAGGAGCCAAATTCAATCCCAATGCTTGCACATCTGCCAGAGTAAGAGCCTCTCCTCTGAACAGCAGGAACTCTGAAGGAACCTCTCATCTTGTGTGGAGTGATGTGTTTGTAATGCTCATGTTCTCTAGCCTAGGGCCAGTCTGTGCAGTTGGGAATCTGGAATACCAGAGAGGCAATTACCTGGTTTTCCCAAAGGGATCAGTGTAAGTTGTTTCTGCAAGCTTCAACCATTGTCTTTCTACAATTACCTAAAATAAAGAATTCTTTGTTAAATACATTATAAAATCAATCCCAAAGAATTGGGAGAAACAGCACAGCTATTTTTAAGTTCTTTTGAAGACAAATTTCAGCATCACATCACATACAGGAACGTGCAACAGCATTCCTGTTGCTAGTACAGAAAAAAAAAATACTCTAAATTCTTGAATATGAATAAAAATATAACCCCAAGACAGTAGTTTCTCTTAACATGAGTTTTATAACCAAGTTTTGATGAATTCAGTGGGATTTTATCTACTGCAAAGTCCTAATTTTTTAGTTGGATTTTTCAAGGGCAATATGTCAGCTGCAAAAGAGTCTCTGTGCAGCCCAGAGACTTCAGCTACGCTGGTGCTCACGAGTGCCCCCTTAGCAGGGAGCACAGCCCAAAAGCTGAGCATGCCAGACTGAAAACCAAGCTACCCTAAAACTTTTCTTGCCCTGATCCCAGACTGTGGCCTCGTGTAACTGCTGTATTCTGCAGCTGTGAGGGTGACACTCATCTGCCCCTTTAGGCTTCTGAGGGCTGCTGAGTGAGTGCTTGGCATTAACACTGTGACCAAATGTCTTTTCTGGACTGAGTTTATTTTCCCTATGATGTTTCCTCATCTTTTATGCAATTTTGTTAAAAGAGAAACATCCCTAGATATTAGCCTAGCAGTTTGTTCTTTTACTGTAACTTGTTTTAAAATGAGTTATTTCTATTTCTTTTTCTACTACTTTCATGGGTAAAAAACATCTGCTTATAACAGCCTGAATGTGCCTTCCCAGAAAAAGGAAGAATGAAGTAAGAGCAGCTCCCACTTTCATGGAAGATAATCCAGCATCAGGCCACACTCTTACTGCACAGTTACAAAACCACTTCTGATAGAAGAGCCACTGGCAGAAAGAGGGTAAAAACTTCTCTGTATTAAGCCCACAAAATGATGAAAAAAGTAAATAGCTTAAAATATGTAAGACCTAATTATAAATTTCCAGTGATATGAAAGAGCACATTGTTTAAAAAAGAGAATAACTAAGAAACATTACAAAAAAAAAACCAACCCAAACAACAACAAACCAAACAAAGAAAACCATTAAAAACTATACATAACCAAACCTAAAGAGGATAAAATGAAAATGCTGCCTGCAAAATACCCAGCTCTTAACAGAAAACCCAAAATGATTACAAAAATTAAATCCTTTATGCTTGTGAAATATTCATATTAAGAAATGCCTAAGAGAAAAAACATAATACAAACAAATCTTTCCTTGTGCCATGAAACCAGAAGAAATTACAAGAGTGTGTTCACTCCACGAGGAACAAATAAAAGAAACCACATTTGTGTTTTAACAAGAGCAGGACACTGCCAAACCTGCCTTAACACCAAAGATTAACTTTGAAGAGCTCACTTTAAAGGGAACAGAAACAAATACAGTAGTTCAGGGTGAAAGTGCTTCTAATAAGAATGAAGTACCTCCAGAATCCTTTCTTAGGACTGGTATTATTCCTTACTGATGTCTTTCAAACAGCAATTATATAAACTCAAATCCTTTCAGCAAACACAAAACGTGGTACAATCCTAAATGGTAAAGCAACCCTTGGTGCTTTGCTACCTTAAAGAAACAGAAAACTGTTTGAAAGAGAAAATTGTTGTTGAGTTTCATAAGCCACCAATTTGTAAAGTCTCTCAGAGATATCAGCATTATTTCTGAACAGTGAAAAACCTCCTGAAGAGACAATACAAGAAACAGATGCAAAATCTGAAAAAAAAGAGAAGCAGCTCAAAATAATTCAACACAGTAGACTTTTCTCTCCTCACGGATAATTTGTGTAATCATTTCAATAAAGAGGAATGTCACATCTTTTAAACTCTCTGACAATCAGGAAGAAGTTTTGTGTCTATTGAATAGGTTTTTATGAACATCCAGCCTTTCTAGCATTTTGAACTGTGCACTCACAAACTCACAAATAATTGTTATTTAACAACAAGAAGTGTCAAACCCAAGCATGCTGTACCTCTTCCTTAAGGACGAATTGTTTAGCTGTTTTTGCAACTTCTGTGGATGTCTCAGCTGCCATTTTCAGGAATGTCAGGTTTTTCCCCTCCTGTGCAAAGTCCAGATATATATGAAACAAAATCAATATTTGCTTTCAGTGTAAAGTTAAAAGGTTCATTTCTGCACCGTAAATTAACAAATATAGCTTGTTGGAGAAAGTCAGGGACGTGTGATGGCAAGTTCATATCATGTTTTCAGCTCCACCCGGTGATTTCAGAGCCAAATAATTCAAAGGAGAAATGTAAATTTGGTTCAAATTCCTGATTTGTAAGTTTAATAGTCCTATCAGCTGTCAGGTAGCTATGCCAGCTGAAGACACTTTTGTTAACTATTCAGATGTCAGACAATTAATGCATTTCAAATAGTTTCATTCTGAACTGGGTGAAATGCTCTGTCAACAGTGTCTGGACAACAGAACTGTGCACTGCACTGTGAAAGTGCAAAAAAAAAACCCTTATACCAAGAGGACTTCAGTGGTAAAAACTGTCTGCTATTAAAAATAATAACTAGACCCTACCTCCAGCTTACATCACAAATAAACATGTAAATGACTCAATCCTTCCACTAAAAACAAGGTCAAAAAACTACATGTGTGTTGCAAGCCTGTGCAGCACATGGGGCAGGTGTGATGGTGTGACCATGGCATGTCAGCCTCTTACTGGGAATGATGTGCCCAACACCATGGAAAAGGCAGCATTTTCTTTAAAACAATGCCCAAAGCAAGGCTCTGCACCTGCCTCAGCCTGCAGCCTCAGGAAAGTGAGATTTCCAGCCTAAGGACACAGCAGGCAAAAAAAAAAAAAAGTGTTAGAGACTGACCCTGTGTCACTGTGGAACTACAGGGAACTTTCAGCACAGAAACTCATACCAGAAAACCATCATGAATCATAAGGAAAAGCCAGTGAAAAGAAACAAATCAGTTTACACCAGGAGAGATGAGATGAGATGAGATAATCTTAAAGATCTCAACCATCCATAGCATTGACAGTCATAATCTTTCCAAAAAGTCAAAAAGAATCTTTCCATTACTTCAACTATGGATTAATAAAGCTCTGTGTGGTCTCTAGCAAAGAACAGTACAAAGTGTGCGAAAAGTTTCTCTGTCACACCCAACTTCAGTACTTTCATTTCTCACTTCATCTTAATCCTTTTTGTGGTAACATCTGTTGCACACCAGTGAAACTGAAAGAGCAACAATCAGCTTTGTTACATAGCAGATTGACATTTACTTGCAGTAAGTAGTTAAAAGGAACGAGTAGGACTAAATACTTCTGTTTATCAGCAGGAGTAAAACTAAAGTACATGAGACCATTTCCTTGGTCTGTACACAGGGCAGGCTCTCTTAAGAAAGTGGTTCTGGATGAAGCAGGTGATAGAGGTCAAAAGTGCAGATTTGTTTTATGTAATGAAAAGAAGCCCTGACCTGTTAAACAAATTCTGTTCCTTCAAAAATATGTTCTATAATATTCTCTTAAGGCAATGAAGCTCCTTTTCAAAGCCACTTAGTTTTATTGTCTACCTCACCACTATCTGTATGACAAACTGCTCAGTTGCTTGTGTTCCAGTTTCTATCCCACTTCAGTGAGCTGTTCTGATGTTTGGAACTCCCTTCTCTTAGGACTGAAGAGTTTTATCTGGACAATGGCCATGGTCTCATGCTGTGACTCTCAAATACAAAATCAAGCTTTCCACCAAAGACAGGCAAAAGAAGCACAGCCCAGGAGAAACAGTCAAAGGAGGCTCTGTGTGATGCCTTTAAAAACACAAAACCCTTACAGACCCAGCTACAGCAAATTCACCTCCTACATTTGGAAAGAATTATAGCCTTTTGCATTGTCAGTATAAATATATCAAAGGAGTGGAGAGTGAACCACAGCCATGTTGAAGTTGTCTTTGGATTGGGCTAAGTCTTCCTCTTTTACTCTTCCCTCACAGGAAATCCTGTTCCATTGATCACCCCAATCCTTCTGCACAAATACCACTGTATCTTTCTCAAATGTGGATTACCACAGTTGTATCATGAAAAAAAAAAAAAAAAAAAAACTAAAACCTCATCTCATGGCAGAACCTGTTTTCAAAACAGCTTGAGAGATTCAGCAGTGACTTGCCACTTAAAACAACAACAAAAAATTACACAGTTTCAGTGCTTTGAATTATCACTAAATCCTAAAATGGGTGAACACCCCCTCAAAGAGAGGGGAATGCTGATCTAGCCCAGCTTCTGTAGTTTGGGTCTCTACCACAAGTGGGTGCAGTAACTCTACGTATATTGACATTTTTAGAAGCTCCACAAAACCAGTATTTTTGTCCAGATTCAGTTGGCAGTACAGAAGTGAGAATTTCTGCTGTTAGAAAGCTGAAATACTGTTTGCTGAAATGAAGGCTGCAGTTCTGGCATCTCACATTAGTCATGCTGTCAAGGACAGCAACAACTCTTGTACATAAACAAAATCAGCTGCAACTGAAAATTAAATTTAACACTAAAATGTGAGATTTCTAAAGGCCTCTTTAGCTTCCAGAACATGCCTTGTCTTGCAGTTCTTCTATCTCATAAAATTCCCTCAGCACATAAATATGAGTTCATTTGAGTTAAAAATTCAATGCAGCTGATACAGAAGCCTGGCTACCTGACTTAGGATTACATGAGCTCTAAGAATATACATTTTTAATTGTTATAAATCCAATCTTAAGAATATGTCAAAGTGCCCACATTTATCAGCTGCCTTAACATGAATCAACAGCACTCAGACTGTTAATTATGGGGGAAAATAAATGTTTTCTACTTTGTCTAGTAGTTTTTGTGCCCAATATTAGCGTGTACTGCTGGCAAATCATACTACTTCTTCCATTTATTTCAAACTAGGGTCAAATTCTATCCTGAAAAAGCCATGCCATTTGTAAAATGTGTAACTTTATTCCCATTGCTTATTTCTTTATTGAGTGGCTTCCTTTCAAGGCAGCATCCAGCCTTCTAAAGTTCCCAAATTATCTTTCCCAGCAGTTAAAATCTTAAGCCAGCTGAGGTCTGTGAATCAATTCAAGAGAGAAGTCAAGATATCAGAACTATACTTCAATATTAATAGTTAGATAGATGGATTAGCTTCCCTAAGTCACTTTTCAGAAGACATTCTCTGATCCTAACACACATTCCAGCTGACAGCAACCAGATTTAATGGAAGCTCACCAATGGGGGTCCCATGGCAAACTCAAGGTCAAGGTCAAACAAAATACAGATCTTTTTTCTTATAAGGAATGTGCAAAAGAAACACTGGCAACATTTTATGCACGATTTAACCAACAGCACTCGGAGATACCTAAGCTGAAGATACACATCATTAAAAACTCCAAAGGCAATTTAAACTTGTTACTTGCACTTTAGTACTACGATTCTAGAAACAAAATCAATTCAGCAGCAATTAAGTTGAGGGGAGGGAGAAAAGTAGAGGGAGAGCGTTTCATTTTTATCATGGTATCTAGGAGCACGGATGACCCACTGAGTGCCAAATAAAACATGGGCAAGTAGCTGCAAAGCAAACAAGGATTATCTCACAGAAGCAGAAGGGTGAGAGGCAGCTCCGTGGTGTTATCAAACTTCCCAACAGCTGAGGGGTCACACAGCTGGGGAGACATCCCCAGACACAGGAGGGAACATCGCATGGAAACAACGCCGTGCAGGGGACACAACAGCTGAACCACGGGGCTTAAACATCCCCCATGTTAATGCTAGACTTGGGACTGAACAAAATGAAATAGCGGCTGATAAAAATATTAAGGCGAGCTGGCAATGCGAGCTCACAGCCCGGGGCTGCACCCAAAGGTTCAGCCCCTCTCCCCTGCCCGGGTGAGACCCACTGAGCCCCGTGCACAGTTCTGTGTCCCAGCGCTACAAGGACGTGGAGCTGTCAGAGAAAGTCCACAGGAGGCCACAAAGTTGATAAAATGACCTCCTACACCTCCCCTACAAAGACAGGCTGAGAAAATTGGAGAAGGTTGTGCACCTTCACCAGTTCAGAGTGAAGTTCAGAGTTCACCTTCCAGCACCTGCAGGAGCTACAGGGGAGCTGGAGAGGGCCTATCCATCAGAACTGCAGTGACAGAACAAGGGGTAATGGGTACAAATTGAAATAGGGGAAATTTAGGTGAGATATTAGGAAGAAATCCTTTACTGTGAGGGTGGTGAGACACCAGAACAGATTGCCCAGGGAGCTGTGGATGCCAGGTCGGATAAAGCCTTGAGCAACCGGGTCTCACGGGAGGCGTCCCCGCCCGTGGCAGGGGGTGATTGGAACTGGATGATCCTTAAGATCCCTTCCAGCCCCTTAACCTCCTAAGGGCCTATGAAACAGCTCCATGCAGGGCACAGGGAGGACAGCAGAACCTAAAAGGATAAGGCGTTACTCAGCTCCTCCTGGGCTCGGGGCAGGGCAGAGCGAAGGCAGCGCTGCGGGACGCTCCGGGGCGCCGCCGGCACCGGGCAGCGCTGAGGCGGCGGGGGCGGGGCCGGGCCCTGTACGCCGGCGATGGCGCCGGGCGGCGCCCGGAGCTGCGCGGGAGGTTCCGGGCGGAGCGGGAGCTTCCGGGAGCGGCCGGGCTGAGGAGGAGGGGGAAGAGGAGGATGAAGAAGGAGCAGGTGGCGCACTGCCAGTTCTCCGTGTGGTACCCGCTCTTCAAGGCAGTCACCATCCGCAGGTGTGGGCGGTGAGGGGCGTAGGGGAGCGCTGTGGGGCGAGCGTGGGGAGGAGTGTGGGGCGAGGGAGGGTGTGTGCCCCTCCCCTCAGCCCTGCTGAGGCTCACCTGCACTGCTGCGTCCACTTCTGCGCTCCTCGGAGCAGGAGGGACGTGGAGCTCCTGAACGGCTCCACTGCAGGGCTGCGAGCGTGATTAAGGGAATGGAAAAGCTGAGGGAGCTGGGCCTGTTCAGGTCTGGGATCACAGGATGGTTTGGGTTAGGAGGGACCTTAAAGATCATCTGGTTTCAATCCCCTGCCATGGGCAAGGATGCCTTCCTCTAGACCAGGTTGCTCCTTCCAGCCTTCAGGGATGGGGCAGCCACAGCTTCTCTGGGCAGCCTGTGCCAGGGCCTCACCACCCTCACAAGAAAGAATTTCTTCCTAATGTCTATCTAAACCGACTATCTGTTAATTTGAACCCCTTCCCCCATGTGCTGTCACTACAAGCTCTTGTAAATAGCCTTGTTCCATCTTTCCTGCAAGTTCCTTTCAGGTCACTGGAAGGAAAAAGAGATGACTGAGAGGGGACTTTATTAATGATGTAAATATCTACAGAGGGGGTGCCAAAGGATGGACCAGGCTCTGCTTGGTGGTTCCCAGCAATAGAAGGCAAAGGGCAGAAACTGATGCCCAGGAAGTTCCACCTGAACATGAGGAAGAATTTCTGTCCTGTGCAGTGACCGAGCACTGGAACAGCTTGTGCAGAGAGGCTGTGGAGTCTCCCTCGCTGGAGATATTCCAGAAGGGTCTGGACACATCCCTGTGCTCTGGGATTGCCCTGCTTGAGCCGGGAGGTCAGAGCAGACGAGCCCTGTGGTCCCTCCAGCCTGACCATTTTGGGATTCTGTGGGCTTGGGTGGGATAGAGGGCACCTGTGTGGGGCAGAGCTGGGCTGGAGGTGGTGAAGGATTGATTGAGCCATCAGCTGCAGTCCAGGGAGCTGAGGTCTTGTCTCTACATCCCAAGGGAGTGTTTTGGGAAGCCCTGGGGCAGGCCAGGTATCCCTGTGCTCCCTGCTCTCCTGGTGGGACTCCATGCTGAGCATCAGAAGGTATCCACACTGTTCCTACTTGCCTACTTAAACTGTGACTGGATAGATCCAACCCAAGTGGCCACCTTGGTGTTTCTGTGTATTTCTGGAAGCCACAGAAAATTCTGCAGTTTCTAAGGTGCTGCTGCAGGTCATGGGATGGTTACAAGAGCTACCGGTAGCTCAGGAAAGTCGAGATAGCCACCCTGTTGGATCAAAAAGTGCTGACATCATGCTTTTAGTAATCAAAGTATTTGATCTTTTATCTTTCTTAGTGTTTAACACGGGTTTATTTTTGGCAAGTTTGGTGATAGTCCTGCATTTTTGGAACGTTCGGATGGCGTAGGCAAATTTTGATTTGGATTTCAGAAAACCTTTAGCTTGAGCAACATGTTGTCTCCTCACAAGCTGCACACAATTTTACTTGGAATTTCTTAGAGCTTTGAAGGAGTGGGGCATTTTTGTATATTTCATCTAAAATGTTTGTCCTGTGCATCCATGGAGGGAAAATGGGCATTGCTTTTTTGGGTGAGGGATAAGATGGGTGAGAGAATTTTCTTCCATAATGTTAGAGGATAAAACATAGTATAGTGAGGGTATCTGCTATGAAAAAAAAAAAAAACAAATTACTTTGTTCCACTAGGATTTTATTACAACAAATAATAATAAGTTATTAAAGAGATTTTCACATTTTTTCCAGTGTTATTCTTCCCCTGCCAGAGAATGTGAAAGAATATTTGCTGGATGATGGAACACTGGTGGTTTCTGGAAGGTAAAGTGTGTTTTCTCCCCAGCTTCCAAGTATTAGTGCCATTTTTCCTTCACAGCACCATTTTGTATATACATATTGTATTGAGCATAATGAGTTTTTCAATTTGACCAGTGTGCCTGCAGTGCACCTCACACTGTGTGAGCATGTGAATGGGCTGACTGTTGTTAGTACAGCTGGATTTGCTGATGCCTGAAGCAGATCCTAAAATCCATGAACTGCAATTCTTTCTAGACCAAGTGGACAAAGTCCTTTCATTTTTTTTTGTCCACCTTTCTGTAGGGAATGTACCAGTCTCTGGGATGCTCAGCTGCTGGTTTGTGTTTGGTTCTTTGGATCTGGTTGGGTCCAGTTCACAGGCTTGACCTGTCCCATGGCAGTCCAGGGGTGAAGTGACATTACCTGAGCTCAATTCTCAATAAAATAAGCTATATACAGACTCAGTAATTAGTAACATTTTATATAATCACTTGCAATCCATGCATATGACAAAGCTGAATGTCCTGTATGAGCACCCATGCCAGGATTTTGGATGAAGAATGAGGTGGAGAGGTAGCAGGAACAGTTGGTAAGATCACAGGCCTTGCTTTTTGTTTCTGTGTAGGTTCTCACTGTGTGGTTTCCTTGTGGAATGCTTGCTGCATGCATCTTGTTAATGATCAAACTCAAAAATCAGTCCTCACTCCATGATTCCCTAACTGGTAGTTTGCCCCTTGCAGAGCAACCAGTGAGGCTGTGAGTGAAAGGGAGCTTGGTTTGATTCATCAGCTATCAATTTATATAAACATTGAAGCTGTTTAAATGCCTTGTAAACATGAAAGGGTTTAATTTTTCATTTCTAAATTATTTTTCTTATTAAAGGATATCCAGAAAAATAGAATTGTTTTTTAAACTATCTTGGATCAGAAGTAGTATTGTCACCTGCATCTGCAGAATTGTGCAATTTATTTAGCAGCAGCTGTATATTTTAATAATCCTTCAGAAAAGCTGAAATGGAAGGTTTGACTTAACAGCAGTGTTCTACAATTTTGCTGTCTTCAATGGAGTAATGGACAGCTGTATGATTGACTTGAATTACATTTTTAAGATGTTTGCAGTTAAAATCCCTTTTAGAAAACATTTTTTTCTCTGAGTTGAATTTCCTCAGTTATAAGTGAATGTGATGATCTTGCAGTCAAGGCCAAGATTGCTTCTAACCTTCAGTGCACCCCTATCTGTCCTCTAGATCTCAAAAAAATGGATTGATGGTTTAGTCCCTGTGGAAGTGCATTGAGGGATTGCAGAGACTCAGCTTGTGTAAGAATTGACTTTTGGCAGGGATGTGCATTTTACCTTGCCCTGTTTGCTGCACTCTCCACTTTCCATGGGATCTTCTTTTGCTTATATGCTGAGTGTGAGGACATTTTCTTTTCAGAGCCAGAAATTCACAGGTCAACATTTGAAACTCAAGGTTTATGAATTTTTACTTGGAAAGGGAGTATGGAGGCAAAAATTTAAATTGAGCTTATTTAAAAAAAAAATAAATTTGTGTTTATGTCAGAGTAGAGTACAGTTGGAAAGGAATCATTGACAGAGTGTTGAAAAGCTTCAATTATGGTGTTTTAGAGCAAAAACTGATCTTCTAATTTAAAAGAAGCAAAGTGTCCAGGTAAGGACCTAAGCCTAATGCCAGCTATTTGGTCTTTAGTTTTCAGTACTGGCATCTCTGATTTTCCTCTGCCAGGGTTTTGATGTTTAATCTTCTTATGAAAACATTTTGACATCAAGGGCTGGAAATGCTGTGGAAATGTAATGGGCATGGCCAAGTCAAACTCCAGTGCTTGATTTTTTTTCCTGTTAATTTTTTGTTTCAGAGAAGATCCGCCAAGTCATGCTCAGGAGGGGAGTGATGATGCAGAGGAGATACAGGTCAGTGTAAAATGCAAATTAATGTCAAGTCTCTTGAGAAAAATATGAGTGTATAACTTTTTCTGCCTGATTTATAGATGTGGAGAGTCCTTCACAGAAATAATTATCATGTGGTAGTTGCCATGAAAAACATAAAGATGTGATCACTTATGCTGTGAAGTCAGGGAAACTTTAAGCTATTTCTATGCTCTTTCACAGAAGACTTTTTTTTTTTAATTTTTCATTTCTTGATAATTGCATTTGTAATAATGATTGGGGAATGTTGAAATTGAACTTAATGCTGTTTCATGCCCTGAAAAATTAGGAGTATATTTGGAGTAGTTACTTGAAGAAACAGTGAAAGTTTCTGAGGCCATAATATCTCAGAAGGCCATTCTAGAGGGAAAACACTGAAAAATATTGTAATTGCAGGGTGACAGTAGGTACAACAAGGAGATGAAAAATAAATAAAAGTGAAGCTAATGGATCATGGGTCTAAGGATGGAAGTTCTGGAGCTGGAGACAAGCTGTAGATAGGGAAGACTGAGTTCTGAAATGTCCATCTTTCTGATGTAAATCAAAATTGAAATACATACAGGTATCTTGTTATCAATGCTTTAGAGTAGTACTCCTGCTGAATATACAGTGTTTTTCCTGTCTTACTTTACAGCCAAAATAATTGCAGGATGATGATGTTATGCTGTCTGGGGCAATAATTTGATGTACATATTGTGAGAGGCTTCATGAATTAAATTATTCATAAATGATAAAGGATGGCTCAGGAAGCTGGTAACCCTTGGTTTGTTCTTATTTTGAACAGTGGTCAGATGATGAGAACACTACAACACTTAAGGTAAGGTCCTGTGAAAGCCCAGTGTGGGTTTGTCAGCAGTTTCCTTCCTTGTGATACAAACTTGTTGCTGGTTAGAGATATCTCTTGCTGTATTTAACATTTTTCAGACCATTTTAGATGGATGGCAGTATAGATGTCTGCAACTTCAAAATGTTTTGCTGGCTTAGTTTTATGTAACTAAAACAAAACACTTTTTCTTCATCCCTGACAATCATACACTTATTAGACTCTAGGAAATGAACTGCAGTACAGCTCTAAATATAGCTGTCTTTCATTTTCACCACTTTGAGTATCTCCAAATTATTTAATCAGATTGGATGCAGAAGAAACCAAGCCCCTGCAGCTCAATTTTCACAGCTCTTCTCTTGACGTGCCATTATTTCTCCTAAGTACATCTCCATCATGTTTTTTTGGTGTTTTTTTTTTTTTTTTTACTTTCCTGTCTTTATGGTCTCCTTGCACGTGGAATCAAGATCATAATGGATCCGAACCAGGCTTTCTTGATCTTTTTCTTATATCTTTTTTTTAAAATTTGCTGTTGCCCTGTCTCTGTAAGAATTAAAATACTCAAGGCACTTGTCTGCCATCGATGCTGTGACTTCAGTCCTTTAGCTCCCTAATGTTCATCAGGGTGTGGAATTGCTCATGTTGGATTAGGTGCCATATAATTACAACCCTGCTTTGAGTGGTGCTTCTGCTAGCACAGAATTTATAGCCTAGAGTTTAAAACGAATACATTTCAAATTTGTGCACACTGATTAATCTTCAGTTCAAATATTTAACCTTTGATAACCTAGATTCCTTAAGTTATAAATTATTTAAAACAAGGGTTTTAGTATCCATCATATGGTTTGCCAAGCTCATGGTAATGATGCTAAATAAGTAATAGCAGAGTTTTGAATCAGGTTCTGTTATAATGTAGAACACAATAAGGAAATACATCATTAAGAGGTATTTACCTGTCAGAAGAGCACAGAGCAAATGACTCTAGTATATCTAGGTAAGTCTGCAGCTTCCTCATGAGGGAAGTGGAGGGGCAGAAAATTCTGCTTTTAGAATAACTTGCATTAATATTAATGGTTACAAAGCCAGGCATTCAAAATTCAGGAAATGTTGGAGTCCATCTTGTTTATGCAGTTGTAGAACTTTCCTCTTGTGTGTATATTTATCCCCTTTGTTAATCAAATAACACCTTGGTAACATTTTCCCAAGGAGGCTTAGTATGTGCTGGTTTTACATATATAGTAGGACTCCTGATTCCTGTCAAAACAAGAGAAGCTTGGATCAGAATGCAGTGGATGAAGAGTTTTACTTCTTGTAGGAGCAGTTTGTAGAATCAACTGAAAGTCTAAAAATAAGATTAGAGAAGTGGTTTTTTTTTCAGTTTTCCGAGTGTAGTTTCCCATGGAGACTAGGTAATGTTTGAAGGAAAGGTTCAGAATGCTTGAAATTCAGCCTAGGTCACTGCACTAAAATGTGAGGTTTTTTTAAGTGTTTGCATTTGGGGAAGCTGCAGTGAGGAGATGCAGAATGTATGAGATTTTTTATTCATTTGTATGGCTGTGAGGGCTTTGTTGTTTAAGAGGCATCAATTAACTTTAGCCTAGGAGTTACTTTTGAATTGAGTTTCAAAATAGAAATAGTGTTCCTATATACTTCTTGCTATAAATTCTGTTATATGAAAAATCTTTGACATATGCTTCAAATCCTTTCATATTATTTTAAAGGTCAGCAACCTGTTTTGTTGGGTTTTTTTTCTGTAGCACCACATTCAGAGTAGAATTTGGAGCAACCTGAAGAGTTGGGGTTTTTTTACCTCAATCTTACATTTTCCATGTTCTTTATAAGGCAAGGTTTTCTAGTCCAACCTTTGCATTGTCCTCTATTTTGAATCAATATATTGTTAAGCAGCTACTTCAAGACCTAACTGAAGAGCTGATTAGTTAAAGTATTACTAACATTTTGTAAAACTAGAGCCTAAATGAGCAGCTGTCACTCAAATTGCTTGTGAATTAATAAAGATATGTTTAATTCTAAAATCACTCTTTTTAAGTTTAAATATTACTGGATCTTATTTGTATACAATAATCTACCATAGGATATAAACAAACAGGTAAGGATTTAAGGTTTGGTTATTTGACTTGTATTTTTGCCAGCTATTGCAGTTTTCATGGTGGCTGTTAGGATGTTTTGGGTTTTCTCCTGAAGTTCATGTTACTTGCTAATAATGAGAGTGAGAACTGGAGCATTTTCAGTCTTCTCTGATTGAAAAAAAATGACAGATTTGATTAAGTGATTTATTTAAGTGATTTTATTGTGCACTATGTTTCTGAGGTTCATACTGATTTTGGACTTATTTCTAATAGGATTTAGAAGATGTCTACACTATTAAATGGATTGAAGTTTATATTTTTGCTGTTGTTCTTCATTCAGGCACCAGAATTTCCTGAGTTCACAGCTAAAGTTCAGGAAGCAATAAGTTCCTTGGGTGGCAGTGTTTTTCCTAAACTCAACTGGAGTGCTCCAAGGGTAAGAATGCTGGCTCCCAAAACTTGTAACAGATCTTGTCATACAAAATGTTTTGTGTTTGTTTTCTCTCAATGCTTTGGAAAGAAGAGACTAGTGGTTCTGATGAAGGAAGAGATGATACACAAGATATCAGTGAAGATTCTTCACTCTAAGTGGAATCCATCACTGATATCTTGTCTATCACTAGGTGTGATGGTGCATTTTTAGGGAGGCTGATGCATGGCAGCACTGACTTTCCTATCTAAAACTAGTTCAGGATACTAGTTGAAACCTTTTCCTGGTATAAAGATAAATAGCACCACAATTTCAAAAAAAAAAAAAAGGCAATAAACTTTCCTCTAGTTAATTTTAAGTACTCATATCTTGTCTATCACTAGATGGTGATGGTGCATTTTTAGGGAGGCTGATGCATGGCAGCACTGACTTTACTATCTAAAACCTGTATCCTGGTCACAGATGGTGGTGTGATGGCAGGCTCTTCTTGGTCAGGATACTAGTTGAAAACTTTACCTGGTATAAAGATGAAAAGTACCACAGTTTAAAAAAAAAGGCAAACTTTCCTCTAGTTAATTTTAGGTACTCTTAACTATACTGTAAGGATGAGTGCACCCAAATATTGTTGTTATGTGTTCTGAAGAGATATTGTGTTCAGTCAAGCATTCCAAGAAAGTTCCTGGAAGCAGTAAGGCAAAAACTTATTTTTGCAAATGAATTTACACTGCTTTCATCAGAGTATTCATAAGAAAAACAAGCACTATTTTGTCTCTTTTAACCACTAATGAAATTTACCTCAAAATAAGAAATAATTTTCTGCATGTATTTCAAATGTTGCATGATATTTAGATAGACTTGATGTTTTCAGTCTCTCCTGCTCATAAAGGTGTGTTTCAGGTAAGCTCTGTGTTTCTTTAGGATGCCTACTGGATAGCAATGAACAGCTCTCTGAAATGTAAAGCTCTCAGTGACATCTTCCTCCTCTTCAAGAGTTCAGACTTCATCACTCGTGACCTCACTCAGCCGTAAGTCGATTTCCAGCAGACAATCTTAGTTATACACAGCCACAAAAAGCCAAAAGCAAACCAGAAAGACATCAAAGTAGCACATGCAACCAGTGTGCTTTGACACTATGGACTAAGACCATATTTTTTTGACTACCTTTTCAGAGCAAGTCGTGTTGTATTCTTGAGATGTTTTGCCTTCCCACCCCTCTTGGTGTTTACTTGTTGCTACCCTCCTTATTGGTGCCACTTCTTATGGTAATACAGTGTGACTTTACCTGTCCTCTTATTTTAAAGCTGTTGAGGTTTGTGTGGCTGCCTGAAAGATGCTTGAGACTTCTGCTAACATATTTCACATAATTTTAGAGCTTGTTCTGAATGCAAGTTCTTGTAGCTCTTGAAACAAATACATTCCAGGTGTCTAAGGATAGCAATTACAGATTAAAATATGATGTGCTCAGGGTTGATTTTTATCTGGTCACATGAAGGGAGTATTTAATTGTATAGGAACAGTTTCCTCCTGTAGTACCTGCATCTCCTTGATTTATGTCACTCATTTCTAAAATATAGCATTTTTCTGAAAGAAAATGAGATTTCTGGAGTTGATATTTCTGTTACTATGGTTACTTTTTTGTTTTTCCTAGACAAGCAGAATTTCAAAGAAAAGGGGCAATCCACGGCTTGGTATCTGAGAGATTCTTTTCCAGTAATTATTCAATGCTTATTTACTGTACAGGATATTTTAGGAGACTCAGTCAAATGCAAAGCCATTGTTCTAGGTGCCTTATAGGGGGTTAATAGGTGTAAGTTTCATGTCAAGTGGCTTATGTCTTGATAAAAAATTTCTTTTTAAAGTGTGAGACCAGTTTTATTAGTGCTGTGCAACTGCCTTGATTTTTATTCCTGCAGCTCTAATGAGACTCTCTTCCTCAGTTTTTGGTGCATGAAAAAAAAAAAGGGGCTCTTGACAGCAAGGCTGTAAGTCAAATTCTGATGTTGGGTTTTACATCATGCCTAACCTGCAATGAAAGGAGGTGCTGGGGAAGAGACTGAGGAGGAGGGGAGAAGATATTGGAGTGATAAAACGGTTTGAAAAGTATGTTGGGTTTGGGAAATAATTGTGAAGAATGAAGAATTCATGATTCTGAAGTCACAGAGAATGAAAGGAATGGGGGAAATGGGAAATCTATAGTTTACATGTCAGAGGTGAGTGAATTCTCAGAAGCCTTTGATGCCTTCCCAAGGAGCTGCTTTTCATGGTTTCCCCTAATGAGAGGTGGGGTGTCTGGAGGATGGCTTGCTCACAGAGTTGAGCAGTAAAAATTTTGTTGCACTGGCTTTCAGGACTGATTCTTGTAGGTCTGATAGTATGGAGTTTGTATTTACTGTCTTCACGTACAGAGAAGTCCAGCAAAAAGTACCCAGAGCTCTTTGCAGAATTCCTGTTTGATTAACTGTTTTCTAGTGAGTCTCAGAGACAAGCAAGTGTTCAGCAAGTGCCACTTGATTTAGATGTGGCAACTCCTTGTATGGTAGAATGAATTGGTTCAACCACCTTCACTGATACTGAAATCAGTGTATTTTCTGTCCAGTTTAATCTTGTATCAGTTCCAGTCAGGGCCTCAGCTCTTCACCCCTGCAGTCAGCACTGGCTTGGTGGGAGAGGCAGTGAAGACATTCTCGTGGCTGTGGTGTGAGGTTTCACAGCATGGCTGTTGACTTGAAGTATCAGTGATTTCACCTGAAGTTCACACAAGAACAGTAGTGGCTGAGCAGCCCATAGCAAGCACATTCCCTCCTCCTGATGCTGCTGTGGGAGGGTAACCTTTGCTGGGGCCCCCATGGCAGGGAGGAATGATCAATCTGACTCCATGTTCTCAGAAGGCTAATTTATTATTTTATGATACTATATTATATTGAAGAATACTGAACTATACTATACTAAACAATACAGAAAGGATACTTTCAGAATGTTAAAAAGATAATAATGAAAACTCATGACTCTCTCCAGAGTCCTGACACAGCTTGGCACTGATTGGCCAATGAGTGAAAACAACTGACACCAGAACCTAATGAAACAATCTCCAAACACATTCCACATGAGCAAAGCAGAGGAGAAGAAAATGAGATAAGAATTGTTTTCCTTTTCTCTGAGGCTTCTCAACTTCTCAGGAGAAAAATCCTGGGCAAAGGGATTTTTTCAGAGAATGTGAATGCCACATAACCTCTTGCAGAAAGGCAACACCTCAAACTCCACTGGTCCAGTCCATTTAGGCTCCTTTTCCAATATGATAAGACCACCAGATAGCACAGCTAAGGTGGTAAAAAAGCAAAGATTATGTCATGATTGTGGGAAATCACCTTGGCCTCTGTGTGTATCTTGTAATTTATGACTGTCATACTTGATTAAAGCATATATTATTGTCCAGTCTCAGCTTGGCATTTCTAAATTACAAAGTTATTTGTACAGAATGTCCCCAAACAGTGCAATGATTATTGCTAAATCAGAACAGTGGTCGTCCTTAATTATACTATTGATCAGCTGCCAGTTCACTAGTCCTTAGCAAGCAGAAATTAAAAATGTAGCTGGCATAAGAACCTGAAGTGCTGAACAAGTGAAAATTACATACATAATGCATCCAAATCCCTTGGAAGGACTGCTTGGAGAGAGGAGAAATGCACTATATTTCTACTTTGTCAATAATACTCAGTATGGTCTAAAGGTTTCTTGCCCTACATAAGTAACAGCTGAAATGCTGCATACCCTCTTTTTGGTGTTGTTGTTTTTTTTCCTGTGCAAATTTATAAACTTCAATATCCACATCACGGGTCATAATATGGTAAACGTGCTGCAATGGCAATTTGTAGATCTGGGTTTTGACCTAGAAATCTAAGTCATTGATGTGAGACTTAAGGCAAACCACTTTCTTTGCCTTTTTCTTCCTCTCCCATTTCCTGTCTGCCTCTAAACATTGTTCAGGCCAGGGAATGCCCTTGTTGTAATTCTCAACTGTCTCAAGTTCCGAGAAAACTTCAACCATGTAATGCTTCAATACAAACTATTAAAAAATATGGACTCAGTGCAAATATACTGAGCATGATTAAATTGCTTTGACTGTTTTAAAAGTTTGGATTCTCTCATGATCTGACACCTTGGTTGAAGAGTTCAGACTAATGAATTACCTTTACAGCATGTTAATTTAAAATAAATTAACAATGACTTCAGAGTGGTATGCTCATTAATGCAGTTGATGTTGTTTCTGCTTCAAAGTCAGAATTGTATTTTAATTTTAAAAAAATCTTGTGGGTGGTGTGATCTTAATTTTTCAGGCATTAATGTAGGCTTTCAGAAATTTAGTGTTGAATATATGTGATAAAAAAAATCCCTTTCTAACTGGGATTTCTGTTAAGTGATTAAAACTCCTCTTTTGAACAAAAAGCTCTGTATAGCCCTGATGGATGTATTGGTGTAAAATACAGTTTTCTTCCTTATTGTTAGAATGGGTGGATTATGTTTTGTTAAAACATGATTAATTGCTCACCTTGAGACTGGTAGAAATATTAGCAGTACTTCTAATGATGTGATAATGCCTCTGCATTCTGACATCCTTTCTGATGCCAGACTTAATCCTTTTAATACTGAATTTCAAATTGTAGGGGAATTTTAACATTTTTTGAGATGTGGAGGAATAACAGCCTGTGTTCTCCTAACAAAACATAGGAGGCAGTGTTGGATTGTGAATAATGTGCCTTAGCACTCCAGTATCTTTTTGCAGGAGCTGATAGTTTAGGCTTTAATATAAACTGTTTCAAGGTAGGCAGTTACACACGAGAGGATGTGGAAAATGAGGCCTTTGATGGCAATTTTTTTTTTATCTTGAGATTTTACTCTTGCCCATTTTTCCAAGCAATTTACAGTGTGGTACAAGATTCTCTTTTCAGTGGTGTATGAATTTCCTATTTCTTTTGTGCCTCAGAGTTCCAGAAAGGTTAATATTGAAGGAATAAAGATACAGTTCAAAGGCTGTTAAAACTTCTTATTCTTTTTTAAATAAGATTTTAAAATAAACCATGAGATAATAACAGGGAAGTATCTGGTACAAAATAAATTTTACAATTCTCATCATATTCATAATAGTTTCTAATTCTCTCAGTGATTTGCAGATGAGTTCATGACTTTCTTAGCAGGGTAGGTACTGGAGAAACTTGCCAACCTTATTAAATTGCTTTTCTTAGTGTTGAAAACTGACCTGCATAATCACTTTTTGTAGCATATCCTGTGGTCAAGTATTCGCATTTGGAGTTTTAGAGCTGCCACCTATAAAGAGATCTTGATCCTTCTGGTCTTGACTTCCAAGGGTAACTGTAAAAAAAGCTGTTGACCACGACACAACAGAAGAGTTTGATCCTTTCACCCATAGTATTCAAAAAGACAGTTTTCAGAGGCTTCAGAAAATACAGCCCAGGCATGTCTCAGTTCGGGGTTCCTGACATCTTTCTGATTGTTCTTTCAAGTATGTCCAGACCTGAATAGGATGTGGGTTGAAGACACCCCACTTAGCATTGTGCCTCTAGAGATCAAAAGCCCATCTTTAATACACAACTTCAGATGGGTCTCAGCAATAAATGCTACAATGAGCTGGTAAAAAATATAAAATTGCAATCTCAAGTCACCCAAAATTTACTCCCTGAACGAAGGTGGCCTTTTGTCAATGAAAATTCGTGATAATATTAAAAAGGAAAATTAGATTAAACATGAATTTATTTTGTCTTGTGCTGTGTTCATCCATTTTTTCCCTCATTTGTTCTTAGTCCTGTGTCATTAAGGCTCAAAAAACCACCCTTACTGTGTCTTGCAGTATTTTTGCCTGTTCGCTTGATTTGGCAGTGATACCTGCAATCTGTAGGGCTTGGGATGCCACCCAATGATTTAATTTTCTGACTTGGAAGGGAAGAGAAACCATCCTTCCGCACATAGCTCTTACCCAAAATATTTGAGGGTTGAGTTAGGGAATAATTTTGATTATAAGGCTGGGTTATTTTGCCTGCTGGCAAAGACTGTTATTGGAATGAAGCAGATTGCAAGTACCCCAGTCTCAGATATGGAGTCTGTGAGAGGTAATGCAGGTCCTCCTGTGAAGACACTGTAAAACTGCTGGACTTCAGCTGCCTTTGTAGATAGAGTTTATTACTGGCTCTGTGTGTGGGGGGGATATTTTCTTCAGCATGATAGGCATATACTCTAGTAAGAGAGGAATTCTGACTCTAGAAAAACTGTGAGCTCTCATGGGTTTGTTTCTGTTGCCTTGACAGATCTTAAATTGCGGGGAATCTAAACTGTAGTTGAAGGATGTTATCTGTTTGCACAGGCTTACAGATATATATATGTGATCTGTTTGATCACTGTGCTTTTGGAAAGCCTGCCTGTATTGCCCTACTTTTCTGTGTGTTGTGGATATTAAAATCTAGACTAAAATGTGTGAAATTTATTTCTGCTGGCAGCATACAGAATGAACTCTTACAATAGCTCTTCACTTCAAACCAAAGGCTGGGAAGCCATGTCTTACAAATGCAGTGTTTATGTGAGACTTTTGGGTTGCTGAATGAAGTTCTCTGCCAAAAGGAGATCCTATAAATATTGTATTTAGGACTATTGCTCAGCAGTGACCCTTAACACAGTTCTGTGCTTCCAAGCAGTTTGTTGCCAATAAAGTCAGGGAGTAGAATTCGAAGAAAAACACATGTTCTTCTGTGAATACCTTTTGAAAGTTACAGAATCTATTGCAAGGTTTACTGTAAAATGACAAAAAGGTACATGGAAGTTGACTTGGCTTGTAACTTCCTCCATTCTTGCTAGCTCCTGAAAGGAGACTGACAGAGTCAGCTCCTCACAAGGGACAAAACCTTGACATCTGCTTGGAGTTGTGGAAATAGTTTTGTTTATTCCCACTCTCAAGGGATTTCTAAGAGTATTTCTTCAGGCTCTTAATTTAGAAAATACCATGCTATGGAATCAGGAGTGCCGAGCAGCAGCGCTGTTTTGCATCCCTTATTCATGGAAATGAACTGCTGTAAGGCATGATGATGTGTCTCTGTTGTGTGGTTTGGGAAGTTAAACATTAAAAGTACTTGGCAAAACATGCTGCAGTGCAACTGGATTAGATTGCTCAAGTTTATTGGATTTTTTGAGAATTCAGTTATGCCAACATAACAATACAAGGGGGAAAGAGCAGCACTGTTGATTCAAACAGAAATAAATCAACAGTGAATAAACACTTTTTGGACACATCCCTGTCCAGATTTAACTGCTTCCAAATTATACTAGAATAAAAGAGGTGATGATTCTGGCTTTTTCCCATTATAATTGTCAAAAGGAGAGTTATGCGTTGCATTTACTTGCTTTATACATATTGGAAATAATTTAACAGTAGTTCTTATGTTTCACAGTTTGGGGTTATTTTTCTCACTATGGCTAAAATCTTACATGTAAAGCAGATTTTGAAGCTTGTGCCTTACTTTTCCAGATTTATTCACTGTACTGATGATTCCCCTGATCCTTCCTTGAACTATGAGGTAGGACACCTTGCAGGATTTCTAAGTAATTTAAAAGAATTGCTCACAGGCTGGGTGACATTTGTGACTGGATTTCTGTCCATTAAATGTGTTGTGTTTGTTTTATTCATGTTGCTTTCAATATGAAGGGAAGTCTGGTTCAGCACTGCAGGTCATAAGAAGTTCATTTAATTGCAGATCAGGTGGGCTAAAGTGCAGATTTGAGAAGCTTCCTTGCAATGTCCTCTCATGTCTGTCAGGTTGTGACAGGAAGGACAAGTAGCTCAAAGTAATATATTCTTGATGGTGAGCTGCTTGTGAACATCACACTGAGGTTACCAAGGGTGAGGTTTGCTGCAGTGGCTGGGGACATCCTGAACTGCTCTGTCACATCTGGTTTCCTATGTTTGTTACCAGATCAAAATGTTCAGCTAGAGATGCTTTAAACTGTTAATGTGGAGCTACTGCTCTTGTGGTAATATCTAGTCATCTCTCTAATAATAGTTTTTATGTAAATATAACATTTGTCATCATGCTGTAGGCTTAAAGGGCTTTTTGAAAGTGAATGAACCTTGGTGACAGTGCTTTTAAAGCACTATCAAGTGTGCTTTAAAGATACAGGACATCTAAAAGTTGGAACAAAGAGTTTAATGTTAACACTGTAGTTAGGAATGTCATCTCTGGTTACTGAAGCTTTCTGCTGCACTTTAAAGGTTTGGGAGTTTCCAGCATCCAGTAGCAGTAACTGGGGCCTTCAAAAGCATAAATCCTTCAGAATATTTCAGCTTAGGAAATACAGAAACTTGAGAAAGTGCCAGAAAGATGCTTTAATTCCCAGGCAGTCTGTCCTATTGACTATAATAGTTTGCTTTCTATTCCTGTCCCGTGTCCTTATTTTAACTGGTTTGCGCCTTCAAAGGCGTCACAGAATTCTGCTTGGGTGTGTACCAGAATAGAGGTTGATTTGGATAAATTTAATTCTGCTCATCAGCTCCTTTGACTAGGGAGCAACTTTCTGCCAATTCCATGACAGATTTGTTGTGTTGTACAGCAGGGTTTTTATTTTCCATGCTTTATCATTAATGTAACTTGGAAGTTGTTTCATAAATGACTTCACAGTTATAAATACTGTACACAGTGGAAGAGCATAAGATAATTAAGGTGAGTAGAGACCTCAGGAAGTGTCTAGTCCATCCTCCTGCTCAAAGCTGGGTAAGGAATGAGATCATATTGTCTTGCTTGGCATTTTATAAAATCTGTCTTGAAAACCTCAGTGGGTAGAGGCTGCCCAACCTCTGTGAGGGATCTCTCCCAATGCCTGACAGTCCTCATGGTTTCTAATGTCCAATCTGAACCTTTCTGCTTTAAGCTAGTTTAGACTATACAATCTTTAGAGATGCTATCCAACTGAAAGCATTCTGTGATTCTCTGAAATTAATATAAAATCTAATTGTTTTGAAATATTTTCAAAGATGATTATGTGAAGTGCAGATTTAAGATTATTTTGTTTTCTAGTATCAGTGGTTATCTTATCATTACAGTGAAACTGTAGCTCTAAAAGGCAGACCTGTTGACAAAAGGATGCTGTTACTTTTGTCGTCTGAAACAATGCTTTGTCATTTGTTTTTCCTCCACAGCTTGTTCTTCGCAAATGGTGTGAACTAATCCCTGGTGCAGAATTCAGATGCTTTGTCAAGGAAAACAAGCTTTTAGGTAAGGAATTTCATAAAATCAAAATTATTGGATGAAGCTTTGAGGAGTTTCTCTGATTCTTTGAATGAGAGCTAAGTCTGAAGAAAGCTCTTTCTTTTCACACCTCATTTCTAAAATTAATGGTTTATTCTCTCTGTAATTTAAAATGTGGTTTACCACATCTCACTTTTCACTGTATTTGAAAACCTGATAGCTCAGCATGCTTGCCATTACAGTGGGAATATTCTTAATTTAATTTAGAAACTTCACCCAAAGGCAGAGTCTTTTATATTCAGGAGGAAATGGCATCATCTCCAGCTTGCAGAATGAATACAGAGGCAGTTGTCTGTTGTGCTATAAATACATGACCCCATGTGGATATTATATATAGAAAGTTGGGGAGGTCAGAACATCTCCACAGGTGTAGGAGGTGTCTTGAGTTCATATTAAATTCAGTGTAGCTTAGTTAGAGCCTGTTGTTCTCTTACTCAAGTGCAGAATCCTAAATGTAAAACATTTCAAGTGGCACTGGAGAGCCATGGTATGCATCCACAGCATGCACAGAGCTGGTGGGTGCATTGGGAGACCTCTGGCAGCTGGAGAACAGGCAGATTGTGCTAGAGCATGTGTTGTAGGCAGCTGAGTAGGGTAAATTTAGGGTAATTTAGGGTAAATTTAGCTCAGTTTTACTCCTCTGGTTGTGTTGACTATTCTCTGCTGACTGTAGCAGGAAATGATACCCAGTGCACATACAGGTGCTTGAATTGAGGGTTTAATTTCGGGCTAATTCCTACTCTGAAGTTTGATTTTGGTGTGGTCTACCATGAATTCTTTAGAGATGAACAGAAACTCAAATAGCACAGGATTAGTGCACATTTGTTCGGAACAAGGTTGAATCATTCTGCCTAAACTCTTCTAACAAGGAAGTGTTATAGCAGTGATGGAGCAAATAAAGACTCTACAGGAAGGAAGGAGATTTTTTTTTTTACTTTAAGATAAAACTTGTTTTGCTCACTGCCTATATTCACAAGCACCAAGTCCATATCCACAAGTGGTCTGTCCAGGGTTCCTTGTGATGATATGGAAGGCCAGGGATGTTGGCTTTGTAGTTCTCACTGTTCCTTCTGTCTTAGCATGGTGAGTGTGGGCTTGTTTTGGCTGTGCCTTTTTGTACCTGTTGGGAACTGTCAGCAATTTGTTGCTCCATCCAGTCCCACCTCTGTGAACCTTTAGGAGCACAGTCCCCGTTCTTCATTTCCTGATTTGGGTTCCCTATGGAGCTGCACACAGGTATTTGAGCTGTGCTAATCAACACACACCATTCTCCTAAGCCCTTTTATTTGGCTGTTCTGTCTGGTGTTCCTATGCTCATCTTCCCATTTTCTCTCCATTTATGCCAGTTGAAAGTGTATTACAGCTCTCTGTTTAAGAGTTAATCTTCCTAATAGCAGAGATTTCCCATTAAGTCTGTATTGCTTAATGGCTCCTGACAGAGCTTTTTGAAGGGAGGAGAGCTGAATGCTGTCCTGCCTTGTGATGCTGGAACACCTTAACTGCCAGAGATACACAAAGCATTTGTACACTGGCTAATTAAGCACTCTGTACATTTCATGGCCAGGTTTGGAAACCTAGTATATCTGCCAGTATGGGATTTTTTTTTTAGCTAGCACTCCAGCTGCATTTTTGAAGATAGTTCCAAGATTTTTCACAATATGTTCCCATACTGTTAAAATTAATAAACCTGTCAGTCAAACATGAATGATACTTGCAGTATAGTGAATGATTTTCCAGTTACACATCTGCATCCCCTTAGATGCCATCATCTTTTGGTTTTTGTTGTTTAGACTCAAGCTTTGCAGTGGTATTAAAAATTAAGAGTTCCACTGACATCACAAACTTTTTATATGAAATTTTTAAAAAACAGCACACCTTTGGTGCTAGTCAGCATTGTATTACAGTAAAACTGTTTTGTGTATGGTTAAAACAGCAAACTGAGGTCACTGATACATCTTCCTTGGGGAATTCTGTCTCTTTTTATGTAAATAGCCTGAATTACTCATTCTGCAGTGATGGGGCAGGTCTTGGATTTGACATTTGCCAAGCAGGGTATTGCAATGTTTTATGTTGACACATATCCTGTATGAGAACTCTTGTCACTCAAGATGCATGCAAGTGTATAATCCTGTTGATGTCATTTTAAACCAGTGTCTTGTAGAGAAATATATTAAATTAAGAGCTTGTAGGAGGGATGGTTTGTCTACATAGGCAAGAAAACCCTTGAGGGAGCAAATGGGAGCACCAAGGTACTGGCCTGCATGCCATCCCACTGATTTGGGGATTGAGGGATTCACCTGTAGTGCCATATCAAACAGGCACATGTTCTTCCACACTTAAAAAATCAGTTAAATGAGAATCTGTGGTATCCAAGAATCATCTTGGCTAATATGCAAGCTTAGCCTCCACCCCTGGCATTTCATGGTTCCAAATTGTGGTCCCTACATGTGATGTGCAGAGCAACCTTTTTGACCAGAGTAACCAAAGGGAATAAAACTGAAAGGAAAAGATGGGAGCTGGAAACTTAAACACAGGCCAAGTCTCCTCCTGAAATTCACTTTAAAATAGTCAAAGTGTGTACATATAAAATGAGGTTCACAAAATTCTGGACAGAGCTGTTCAAGAAAGAGATTCCTCATGGAAGTACTTAAAGTATAGCAGAATAAAGCCAAAGAGTAAGTCACTAATAATGGTAGAAACTTGGGAAAACCCCATCTTCTGTGTCTGATAACTGGTTTTGTTTTTTTTTTTTTTTTTTCTAGTTGGGTTTTTTTGCCTGCCTAGAGTTCTTTATAATTATAATTACCTGAAATTATTGACAGGTATATCACAGAGGGACTACACCCAGTACTATGATCATATCTCTAAGCAACATGAGGAGATCTGTAGATCCATACAGGAGTTTTTCAAGAAGCACATACAATATAAATTCTTGGATGAAGACTGTAAGTATCTTGAGGGTATCTGTGGGTATGCATCTCTCTCTTCATTGCTCTTGCTTTCACGTGGCTTGGTTCTCTTTAGCTTGGGAGAGTCTGAAAGCTCTTGTGGCTACAGCATGTCGCTGCAAAGGTTTGGAATTACATTCCTAAGAAAAAAACCCTGAAGGAAGGGCTGGAACTCTCCAAGAAAACACAAGAAATGAGTGAAAGATCCCTTCAGAAGTCATAATAATTTTTTTAAGGCTTTTCCCCCTTATACGTGAAAGTAATTTTTATGCCAGAAAAGCAGGGAAAAAGATCTTAAAAAAGATTCTTGACTAAAGGTATTAAGTAGTGAGAAGAATACTTGTTCATAAAGGTGTTTTCAGCTGTTTGCTGCTAAATTATTGATGTATTCCTTGAATAAAGGATTTTTAAGTTTCTTTTCAAGAAGTTTTAATTATTTCTTCCAGAATATCAATGCACACCAGGTTAGGTGCCAAAACCTTTGAACAAAGGCCACAATATTTGATACACCTAATCAGTCCAAGTAAATTGTGTTGTTCTCTAAATGTGAAGTCCCTTGCAAATTTGATTAGAATAGTTTTCTAACATGGTTTACTGATAATTGAATGGTGTTGCATCATGATGGGTGATCAATAGTGGTGAAAAACATGATGAAGAAATTTAAATTAGGTCTGGCATGGACCGAACCTCAGCTTAGTAAAAACCCATAAACATAAGAATTTTCTGGCAGTTTATTGTCATGTCTAATGCTTTGAAAAGTCAACCTTTAGGTGGGTTTTAAACATTATTAATTGTTTTATTGATACACCACAGCAGTCAAATAGATCTGTCCTATCTGTCTGAAAAAGGTACCTTCAAGTGCCAGTCTCTGTTGTATTGAAATTCTTAATAATTTGACTCTGCAAAGCTGTTCTGTTTCAGCCCAGAGAAGTTCTCATGGACTGCTGCTTGGAGAAGACCAGTAGAATAGTACATTAATTTAATAACTCCATTGCATTTTGAAGTAAGATCAGTCATACAGATCTGGTATTCTGATTACTGCCTTTTAATTTTCCTCTGTGTTTCAATGTAATTTTAGCTAGTATGTAATCAACTGATAGATAAGAATTCAGGGCACTATTTTTGGATATTGATGCCTAGATTCAGGCTCTGAAATGGCTGTCTGGTGAACTGAAAGGTCTGAAATGTCATCTTATGTAAAGGGTGCCATCTGAGTTGCCTTGAGGGAAAAGCAGGTTTCAGGGAAACCTTCTGGGATGAAGGTTTGTTAACCTTTTATTCTTAGACACTAAGTGCTGGTCCATCTGCAGAGAAATGCCATGCAGAAAATGTTTTCTGTGTTTTTGTGGGTGGTTTTTTTTTAATCACATTGCATTTGTCCCCCATCATCTCCCTTGATCCACTGCCTGGTAGCATATGTGTTGTTAACAATAAAAATCTGGGTTTGCTTGTTTGTTTGCTTTTAAAAGGAAAGGTATTACAGCTTTTTTCCTGACTTCTTGTTTCATTGGGGATTTTGATGCTGTTTGCTCTGCTTTTTCCAGTTGGTCTGGTAGCATCTCCAGATGGAAGAGTTGAGTCAGAGCAGCTGAAGCATTACAGAGTCAGAACAGTAGGATAACAGATGGGTGAATGCTTTATAAATACTTCTAAATTATGTTAGAACCTCCTAAATACCTTTGATAAGAGCCCAGTAAGAGCAGTGCTCTGGAGGTGTCTATAGTGCAGAGCTGGGTTTTGGCTTTCCATCTCTTTAGGGCAGTTTTTGGTGAAGTTTCACTACAGTCTCACTGACATGGGACACTCCTGCTCTGAGAGTGGGAATAATTCAGGTTTTCTTCTTGTTCAGTGTTTGTGACTGCCCTGAACCAGTCACCAGAGTGCAATCAGTCTGAATTCCAGCTGTGTGAATCCCAGTAAATACCACTAGGAATCCCAGTAAATACCACTAGCCTCAGTGATTGCTTTAGGCTGACAGGCCTCACTATAGAAACCCTCAGATGCAAGGGATATCTTTGGGATATGACTAAGGAGAGGATGTGGTGCAAGCACTAAGTTCAGTTGAACATCTGGAGAAGAAATCCTGGGGTTCCTGTACCCCCCTTTGCATTGATGACTGGCTTAGCCACTGAGGGCTTGTCTTCCTGGGAGAGCAGAGCACTTAATCCTGGAGTGACTTTGGCACTGATGCAGCCTAGCTTGTGCAAAAGCTGTGTGGATTTTTAGGCTGCATGGTAAAAACCAGCTACGTGACTGGCTTTGGCTTTGTGGAGTTGTGGTTTGCCCTTAGCCCAGCCAACTTCACATGAAATGTCAGATTAAGCTTTACATGCATGGATGTGATCAGTCAACATCCCTGTTCCTGACAGGCAGCTTCCTGAGACTCAAGTGTTCTGCAGTCATATCCTGAGTTTAGTTTATCCACATGTATTGGGAAATCTCTTAGCTGAAATATTCCCTTATTAGTGAAGGAAGTAACAATATAGCACTTGTCTGAGGCTTTTCAAAATCTTTTTTTTTTTCTTTTTCCTTTCTTCCTGCTAAACTGGTACAACTTTTGCATGTAGCCATGCCTGAATGCTTCCCTGTTGATTTCCCTAGCTCAATAGAAAGACAGCTCAAAGGTTTGTTTAACCATACAGAACAGGAGCTGATGGAAAGCTGCATATACAGAGTCATGTTTAATTAAGCCAAGGGGGGGAACAGCAGTGGAGCCAGGCAAGGCAGCTTTGAGTCAGTCACTGAGTAGCAGGGGGGTTGTTTGAAGGATTTGTTGATATTAATTATGTGTGCTGTGTCTGCTCTGGGTGACATCAGACATGGCCATTTCACTGCCACTGACCCCTTTGTTCCTACAACCTGTTTGTCTTGTTAGCTGCTAAAATCCTAATGTCTGTGGAGCAGGAACCTTCTCTTATTAAATGTTTGTGCAATGTCCAACACAATGAAGTCTTGATCCTTCCCTGAAACATCCCTGTTCTGCTGTAAAAGAAACAGCAGTAATGTCAAAGATAAGCTCTTTGGGCAAGTGTTTATCAAATATTCTTCATGGGAGAAAAATCAGCAAAAGAAACCAGCATTAAATGAAAAAGCCCAGCAGCTGATTTCCCAGTGCATTAACAATAGTTCTTGAAACATTTCAGCTCCCTCTTAGAAGTATACCCAATTCTGGCTTGCAGTTCATTAGACATATTGACTTTCCAGATTGTGCTGTGTACACAAATGTCTATTCAGATTTAGACATTTTCTGTGAAATTATGTATCTTTTACAATTAACATTTTTTTTCTCCTTTCCAGTTGTTTTTGATGTGTACAGAGACAGCAGGGTAAGTGAACAATAGGTTGTATATAATGGTTTCTTCCGTGAAAACTTGAAATGCTACAAAGATCGAGCAAGTAATAGCTTTGTCTTCCTAGAAGTGGTCCTGGAAAAAACAACCAAACAAACAAAAAAATACCATTAAAGTAAAAACCCTGACCAAACAAAAAACACCAAGCAAAACCTACTTGATGTTACTCTGTTCCACAGGTCTTTTTCTGTGATAAATGCTGTCTGCAGTAGGAGAATAATAAGATTAGGAGTGTAAATATGTCTGTGCCAGTGATGTAATTATTTAGTTAATATCTTCCAGAGAAGTTGTCTGTTCTAAAGCACAGAACTTAGGCTTTGACTGCAATTTTCTCAGTTCTGTGAATCTACAAGAAGCGACTTAGTTTTTGTTATGACACGAGAGTCCTTGCTGCAGTAATTTAGAGTGGAATAGACCATTTCAGCTGGAAGGGACCTACAATGGTCATCAAGTCCTACTGCTTGACCAGTTCAGGGCTGACTGCAAATTAAAAGCATGTGGTTATGGGTGGTGTTCCCAGGCACATGGTGGGATTTGTGGGGCTGTCCTGTGCAGGGCCTGGAGCTGGACTCAGTGGCCTTGAGGGTCCCTTCCAACTCAGGATATTCTGTGACTCTTTCATTAAGGGCACGGTCCAAATAGCTTTCAAGCACACAAACAAGGTTTGGGGCATTTTCTTTTATGACAGATATTTCCTTGGGCTTTTTTCCTGTGTTTGTTTTTTTCACTAGAGTATTTGAATTCATCAAAATTATCCTTAATATTTCTTCAGATTGTCCTTGTGAGATTGGAAAATTATTAATATCTGGAAGTCTGAGATAGGAAGAGATAATTGTCCAAAGAGGCTGTGAATGTGGTGTGCCCACTTTGTGACAGATGGAAGCCAGTTTTTTTCTTTCCAGGCTGCTCCAACTCTGAGAGTTGGGCAGGTCAGAACCCTCAACGTCCAGATAGTGATGGAGTTGGGGAGAAGCATCCCACCTCAGCTCTTTGAAAGACATGTAGGTGTAGTGCTTAGGGGTGTGGATTAGGGGTGAACACAGAGGTGCTGGGCTAAGGGTTGGACTTGATTTTAAAGGACTTTTCCAACCTAAATAATTCTATGAAGTTGCCAGTATCAGAGTTAGTAACCTTGACTTCTCCTGGTGTGAGTGGGGAGAAGTATTTGGTCAGATGAATTGTGCTTGAAGGACTTGATTGGAGAAAGTCTTTATTGGAGTTGAGTGTATTGGAAGTAAGTCCTGATTCTTATTTTGAATGTTGCTGAACTATTTTGTAATTCTGTAACAGTAAATCATGCCACAGTTTACAAAACAGGAACGTGTCTCATGTGGAAAACAATGACTGTATCATTTCTCAGCCCAGCTTTTCATGTAGGTACCTAAAACGAGGCTGTGGGCTAAAGCAGCTCTGCTGTAATTGAAATTACCTGCCCAGGCTCGGATCGACAGACATGAGCATGCTGTCAGGGAAAATGAGGAGCAGCACTTGAGCATTGAACCAGATTCTGCCGTTGGGTGCTCTGCCTCATAGCTGAGGCGTGAAGAGAAATTATTTAAATAAAAAGTTTCAGCCTGTGGTATCTCAAATGAGCAGTGTTTCTTCATCTGTCAAGACAAAATATATCTGTTTGTAGATTTCTCTTGGTGCCTTCTACCCTCAGGTCTTGTAAACTGCCAGCTAGCCCTTTGTGTGTCAGATGCTCCTCCTTTCACACATACTATTGTGGTTTGCAACTGTGTTATTCATCGCTCCCTTAGCGTGTGAGTTACAGGCAGCAAAAGAATATTGTGAGCATGATTAATTTCCAAAGCCCGTGCTCCTCATCAGGCTGGTTGCACAGCAACCTCACCTACAGAAGGAGAGAAATGTTCACTGTCTGCTTGTTTTATGTCCTTTCAACTCTAAATATTCAGCTCGGAGAAGCAAGTTGTTACCGTTGTAAATGACAGCAGTCTCTTCCCCGTGCCCTCTTCGGTTGCTTTAGAGACTGTCTGGAGTTGGCTCCACAGGTCCTGCTCACTGAATTGGAGGGGGAAGTTCACAAAAGCCTGAGAGTCGGCTCTGCTGTTGCTCTTTGCTGTCCCCCAGGTGTTACAACAAACCAAGTTCAAGACAAGTCACTGTGGTAAGAGAGAGCAATGCAGGGAGTGGCTCCAGAGCCACTGCTGGCTCACAGCTCTTGTTAAGGAGCAGACCAGTGCTTGTGTCTGTGCCTTGTGAGCAGCTGGAGTTAGGGAGATGTAACAGTTAAGTTTGCATTTTATTTGTCTGTAACTTCCTTTAAACAACAGGCTTTGTCGTGGGCACTTCCTTTCAGCTCCCCGCTGCTTAATGCCTTAGCAAAAAAGCATGAAGCTGACAGGGTGTGGTAAATCTACTGATTCCTTCTTTTAGGATGAGAAGAAAACACCATGTAGTACAAGTAGGGGAATTTTTTCCCCCTCCACTTTTGCACGACTTTTTTTTCCTTTTTTTTTTTCTGGCTTGTGCGTTTCTCTGCTCTTGTATGACAAAGATTACTAATAGCAGGCAAAAGAAAACAGATAAATAGCCTTACTACTGCTTTTTAGATACACAGTGTAAATTATCTGAAACTGTATTTAAATCATGCATGTAAGACTTGAGAGAGAATTTCGTCTTAAGAAAAGGCAGTTTGGTTACTGACCCAGGGTTACATACACTCCTTTTAATGAGCTCTGAAAAGAGATACTGAGTTTGTTTTGCCACTTGTCATCAATTTGCAGCTAGCAAAGCTCAGTGCAGATTTAAGACCATCTCAAGGAAACAGTTGTTGCACTGCTGTCTGCAGGGGTAGAGGAACACTGCTGGCTGCTCACAAAAAAACATGTTGCTTTCAGTAGTCTTAAAATCAATTTTCACTTTTTTCAAGGGTACATTAATTCTCTAGAGAAATGATCTTAATGTTCCTGAGAAAAAGCTGAGCTGGATGTATTTGGGGTGAAGAGGAATTTCTGTGAAAGCCTTTCATAAGGAAGTATTGGGTATAAACATTTCTGATGTAAGGAAAGATTCTCTGAACTGCTGAATGAACTTTGCTAGCCATTGCTTCTGTCTGTGATTAAATTGGTTCATTAGCTTGTTTTTCTAGAGTGATAGAATGAATTTAAACCCACAGATTCCTCCTCGTTCTGCCTTGGGGCTGACAAGACACCCCCATTAGCAAAAGTAAAAGATTGCTTATCATGAGAATTTGTGACAGCCTTTTGAGGAGAACCAGAGGTGGGAAATGACAGCAGAGCTTGCCCCACTGGCTCTCTGCTCTGGTGGTGCCAATATTAGTGCAGAGGTGTTGCAGCTCAGCCATGCAGATCTGGGCTTGCTCACCCTTCCAGAACAAATAAGAAACCACTCAGGTCTGTGTCCCCCAATTTGTAGTTTCTTTTGTAGCTGTCTGGTTTCAGCACTGTTGTTTCTGTGCTTTGGCTTCTTAAAATGTGCTCTGTGGGAGCTGTTCCCCGTGGAGCTGCCCTGAGACAGACACCTGTGAAAGCCTGTGTGCAACCACACGCTCCCTGCTGGGCTGCTGGCCCAGCTCCAGCCTGCAGGTCATAGCCATAGATGGTTTCATCTCTGCTGGGATTCCCCACACCTGCACGAGGAGCTCGCTGGGGATGGTAACAGAGGCACCAGAACATTTCTGCTCACAGCTTTCCATCACTTGCAGTCCCACAGTGTGCCAGTGCCTGTGCGATAGCTCAGGGGGCATGGGTGGGAGAGGCAGGCTCCATGTTACTCTCTGCCGATGCTTCGAAAGCATCTTTGTGTGTTAGAAACCAGATGGCTGTAGTGTAAATAATTCAATGTGTTTGCTGTTTGTATCAAGATAGACAGGACCTTTTAAAGCAAGAACATTCTTCAGAAATGAAGGAAAAGAGGAAAAAGCAAAATGAATGTCTAGTAGCTACACAGTGTTCAGGTTTGTTTTCCAGTTTCAGTTGATCTTTATAATAAACACAATAAAACTCTTCAGCCCTGCTTATGTTACTGCAGCTTTTTCCTTCCCTGTTTGATAGAGCTGATTTCTTCCAGATGTAATACTGGTTTTGCAAATTTTTACTAGCAGCTGTAGTCATATTTCCTTATAATTTATTACAGTGTTTTGTTTTATTAGAATAGTTGACACTTCCTTGGGCAAGAGAAGATGGCCCAGTGCTGGGGGTTGTATCTTGAAGTGGCTCAAGGAACACAGGCTATTTCTTCCTCCCCCACACGTCTGTTACTTCTAATAGGTCTTGTTAGTCTCTGCTTTCATTTTTCAGTTGTAAAGCAGTTGTGTTGTTGTGCACCCTACCACAACTGTTTGGAGCACAGATGTGTTAAAGATGGGGTAGAAACTAGTGTGGATTACTAGTAATGGCTATGTTAAAAATGCCTTTAAGTTAGTCTTATTTATCTATGTCTGTACAGCATCTTTGAGGTTTCATGAGCTCCACCAGCATTTTGCAGACCCTGCTCTCTGTTTTTAGGGTCCCTTGTAAGACCAAGAACAGCAATTTTTGTAGACTGCTGGATGGTGCAGTGTAGCTGAGGTGGTTTTTCATGGAAAGCAAAATCCCTGTGTGGGCAGTTTGGGTTTTTTTGTTTGTTTGGTCATGTTTTGGGTTTGGTTGTCGTTTGGGTTTGAGGTTGTTTTGTGGTTTTTGATTAGTGCTCTCCCCTGTTCCTTGTTCATTCTCTGTGGGGATCTTGGTGGATCTTGGGGATTAGCCAGAACTTCAGTGGGCTCATCTAAACACCTGGCATAGAACTAAGTTCAGTTTATTTGAGCTCTGTCTGATCTACTGTTTTAAAAAAAATCAAAGTAAATTAGTACATGATAGCTTGCTGTGATTTAGACTCTATAAGGTAAAGGATGTTAGAATATTTTAAATGCTTAAACCCAGGTAGTTTCAATTTTAACATCTTTTTATGTAAAGACCAAGCATACTACAATAATCTCAGTATATGTGTATTTTGATTTTTTTACTTTTTTTTTTTTTCTTTTTTGCTTTGTTTCAGTTCTGTGTTTTGTTTTAATTTGTCTGTGGTTCCTTTGCAGGGTAAGATTTGGTTAATAGATTTTAACCCATTTGGTGAAGTAACAGACTCCCTGCTCTTTACATGGGAAGAACTCACCTCTGGAAAAAACTTGAAAGGAGACCAGAGTGAAGGGGAAGCAACAGAACAGGTGAGGGAGGCTGAATAACATCCAACAGGATTTATGCCCTTATTTTTTTCTTTCTTTTGCTGTTACAATCAAATTGTGGTGCAAATCCCATTGAAGTAAATGAAGCTCCTGTGAAATGTAAGCTCTCTTTAAGTAGAAGCTACCTTATAGTTCATCTCAACAAGTATCACCTGCTAGTTTTAGATGCCTGCAAGGGAATTTTTAGTTCAAACAGTACAAGCCCATATTGCAGCTTTGACCCCATTGCAAAGAAGATGCCCTGAAACTTATTTTTACAGTTTTGATGCATTCCTTTCAGTCTTTCTTAAAATCTATTACTTTTCTCTATAGTCACTTAAATTTCTGCTTGGTTCTTGATATCTGTCATGCAGTTTCCCACATCTTCAGTTTTATGCTTGGGGGAAAACAAGCAGAAGCTGAACTTCTGTCTCTTCCTCATCTGGAATACTCTTAGCAAAGCCTTGTCCTCTGGTTGAACTCCCAGGACTTTCAGAACAAGGCTTTTCCATCCCTCTTCCAAGCCACGTTTCCTCTGTAAAAACAAGTAACTCCCCGTTAATACATAAAGGGAGGAATAGTCTTCATTTTTTGTATTCCAGCTTTTTTTCTCACTGCATCTTGAGACAGAGTCCTCACATCTTAACAAGTCCTTGGGCAGCTGGGTGGGAGAGAGGAAGTGGTGTTTTAGTGGATCTTGGGAAACACTTGTTTATTTTCTGAGCAGTGGTGTTTGGCCAGTGTGGCTTTTCTTTATTTTCTAGCTGTTGAACTGCATTAGAGGTCACTGAAATGACAAACTTCACTGAGGTGATTTTAACATCTGAGAGTTTCTTTAGTCCTGTGGCCCTTTCCATAACACATTGACAGGGACACCCCACTCCAGGCTGTCCTTCAGGCCTCTGTCTCACCATGGAATGAAAACCCATTCCATGAACCCTCCTGCTGAAAGCTGTGTCTCCTTTGTTAAAACACACTCCCAATTCTAGAGTTGTCTGTGGGACACGTGAATTTTCATTTTGGGATTTCTTTTTCTCATTGCCAGATGCTTTGCACAGTTTTCTGTAGTTCAGCCCTGGGTGAAAAGTAGAATAACTTGTCTTCATGTTTCGTCTGACATCCAGTCACATAATCTGGTATACAGTTGCTGATCTTTCTTAAAATGAAGCTGTTTATTGCAGTATAGTTGGCAATTGCATGGCATGTCAATGTGTTGAACTGAAAATGATATGATTTTTCCAAAACCTGTTGCTACAGTTCAGCATTTAGAGATCTTTTTGGCCCTTTTATAGAGGTATTTTTTCCTTTGGTAAGTAAATTGGTTGGAAAGCTTAAATTATACTTTCAGTAAGATTATAGTTACTAATGTGTTTAAACAAGGAAACTGTGAAGACAAGTTTAGGGATTCTATCAAAAAGATTTTTCTCTATTCAGATACGTATCTAGATACTATTGCCCAAAGTTCCTTATAGCTCCCTTATTACAGCACTGTCACCAGCATGAATTTATTAAATACATTAATAACTGATACACAGTAGAAACTTTAAAGTGAGGTAATGAAAGCCATTATTTGACTGTTTAACATGTTTGACATTTCAAATTGCTCCTAAGTGGGCAGAGGTTTTATAAGAAAGCTATAATTTTTAGAAAGCTCAAGTTTAGTTGAGTGAGTGCCAAATAAACTCATTGGCAGCATGACTCAGTCTCACGGAGGAGTCCCAGAAATATTTAATATTCATGTCCACTGTTTTTGTGTTCTCTCCTTTTCCAAAGGATTATCCAGTGTTCCGTTGTACCAACAGCAAAGTCACTGTCCAGCCCAGTCCCTACCTGAGCTACCGACTGCCCAAGGACTTTGTGGACCTTTCCACAGGAGAGGATGTTCACAAATTGATTGACTTTCTAAAACTGGTAAGAAGTAGGAGAAAAAAATCTCTGATCTTCCACCTTTGTCACATGGAAACACCAAAGTCCCTGGATCTCTGCTTTTGTTACTAACAAAGTGTTCAAAATTAAAGGAAAAGCAATGTATGAAACCATCACTCAATGTTGGGTTGATTGTTTCTGAAGTGATGAAGAGCAAGCTTTTTACTGCTCTCACTTTGCTTAATTAATTTTACTTTTTATGGAAAGCAGTGAATGCAGTTTGACATATCTTAATGAAGGACTGAGCTGTTTCCTTTCTTACTGAAATATAAATATGAATGTAGTGTGAATGAAAATGTGTTTTTTGAATGCCTGAAGCTAATGCTTTTAACTTTTAATGTTTTCAACTTTTTTCTTTAAAAGTTATAAGACAAATATAGTAGGAAAAACCATGATAGAGTTGTTCCTTTTCCAGTCTGGTTTCTTTGTTCTTTTAATGCACAGTGACATGAAGACATGAGTAAGTTAGGGAAGGGAGGGCAGGTTACCTGCATCTGAATCACTGACTCTTGCCACCACCATGATGTTTTCTGGTTCTTGTATATTCCATGAATTAATGGACTAGGCAAGTCTTGTTCTTTACTGGAAAGAAAATTCTATAGTTTAGGATGAGAGAGAGGGTTGATTTTGCTCTGTTCCATTTGCTGGAAAAATTATCTCTTACTGTTCCAAAAAATGACTTAGAAATGCAGTCACTGTCTAATCCATTGTATCTGGAACACTTGACATGATTTATTAGTGCTCTTATTTCAGATAACTGTGTCCTAACATTCTGAACTCTCCTGTTCTATTGACAGAAAAGAAATCAGCAAGAGGATGACTGAGGTACCCAGAGGCATTACATTGAATTACAAGCAACAAATGTGGCAAAATCTGTATTTAGCATAACTATTAAACTATTGATTCAAAGAAAACCTGCTTTTTATAGTCAATGAAAGAACTGAAGGGCTGTTCATCCCCAGTGTCTGTTGGTTTATACAAAAGTGTGGTGAAGCTTTTTCAGGGAAACATGAAAGGTCAGGGTGAGTTCTCACTGGATTCCAGGTGCAAAGAAGCAACAGCCTGAGTGCAGCTGAACAAGTGCTTTCCATTTCTCATAATGTGAAGATTAATGCCACTGAGCTACACCTTTGGACTCCCCAGTGTAAATATGGCAACATGAAATGCTTGTGCAGTAAAAACATGGAGATCCTCTGCATTTAGGCACAGTCTTGGTTAATATGTAGTCACAAAGAAAAAGGAATGTACATTTTTATCTGTAGTAACCTTTTAAAATTGTAAATTGATTTTGTTTTGGGAGTACTTCTCATCCTTTATGTAAAAAAAAAAAAAAGGAGAAGGGATTTTTTTCGTTGTTACAAGGGCTAATATTTCATTTCAGAGAACAGCTATAGCTGTAGTAAACTACTTAAAGTTTGAAAATTTTACCTACTGGGAATTTGAAATTCTGAATGCATTTAAAGTAAAGTAATATTTTCACAGTCACTAAAGCAAAATTAAATTCATTTAACTTCACCAAATTTCATTTCATTTTCATAGTAATGCTTTCTTGAAACCTGTTTTTTTAACATGATTACACACTAGACATCATCTGTGACTTTAATTTACATAATTAACATCAACCTATAATTTTATATACAGACTCAGTCTTGTTTCTTTTGTGTCACATCTCTGAGTTTCTTACGAAAGCAATTTTTTTTTCAGCTCTTAAAATTCTGTATTCATTTGGTACTTGTTTTTTGTATAAAGGGAAGCTTGGCTAAATCTGGGGAAACAGAAGCTCTTGTTACCAATTGCTGTTGTTTGGGAGGTGGGGGAGGACAGTTTTAGGTGAATCACCAGCTGACTTTTGGATATAGGTGTTTGTATGGCATCAGTAATTTATTAACAGTGTACAGAGTTCCCATTGAACGAAAGGACATTTGAAGAAGCTCATAACCCCTGGAAACTGGTTCCTATTTCAAACCAGTTATGTGATACTGTGTGTGTGTGTGTGTATAAAGCTGTTTGTGTTTCCTTGCCTTGCTTTTGCTGTCAGATTGGAACGGTGCTTGGTTACAATCTGTTCTTGGATGTTAAATCTGAGCTAAGTTGTTAAATTATTACCTAATGTCTTTTTTTAACTTCTGTTTTGAATGAAAACTTACTCGAGTTAAAGATTATGCAGATTAAGAATCCACACATTGATGAAACATCACAGATGAAAGCTCCTGGAGTCAGAACAGTCTGCCCTAAATTGAAGCATTGTTTGAAGCATTGGAACCTGCTTCTCAACAGCTTTTTGTATTCAAATTAGGTGATCATTAACTCAGGGCTGGGCTATACCTAATCCTCCCATACTGCAGGATTTTGGATGAGTGTTTCTCACCCTCACCAGAGGGATAATTTGAATATAAATGTCTCTAAATCGGGTAGGAACCTCAAAGTGTAAAAAAATTAACAAAGCTTTCCTCTTTGTTTTAAAGTTTCTAGCCATAACTTAAACTGTTGGGGTGATCTAACCACACTTCCTTCCTTTACACAGATGATGCCCTGGAACTTCCAATAGATCCATAAATGCTTCTAAACAACAGATCATTGTCTTGAAAAACAAAGCCTTAGTTTAAAGCTGGAAGATAGTTTCCCACCTCTTCTTTGTGGGCTCCACAAATTAATTTACCACTTTCTCAGCTGTCTTTGCTGAATGTTCACCAGAACATATTTGGTGATGGGAGCAGTTTGCTGGAAACCTGTGCACTCTGGAGTGTCCCTCTAGGTGGGTGGGCTGGAGTTTTTCTCCTCTGTGAAGTGCTGACAGATGCCCAGTCTGAATTCATGGGCTGCTCAGCCAAGCTGAACTGCAGTTTAGAGTTGTCCTGCTTCCTTTGGGTTAACTCCTAGTGAGGAACCTTAAAAGCTAGCAGAGCAAAAAATACTGGTCCCGTGTTCAGAAATGGTACAGAAACAATCCCCAATATAAAATATGATCTACAGGATCAGGTCCCCCAAAATACCATATCCTTACAGTTTAAATACATACTTTAGATGTACTTTGTTTTTTCCCCAACTTCAGTTAACCAGACAGTGAATTTTATTTGGCTGTTAAATTAAAGATTCCTCTTCTAAAAGAATTTTCACTCTGTATGTCCTTTTGATCTCCTAGGATAATTAACAAACATATTTCCTTTGGGGAGCTGAGGGAGCTAATGCTGGTAGATTAAAAATGCTTCAGATCAGTTTTACCCTGAATAGTACATGACACTTTTCTATTCCATCATAAAAGCAGTTTCTGCCTCTAGCCATCATATACAGAAATTTGAAAATACAAATTTCCAGTTGTTCAGGTCCTTGTTCATGGGATTTAATTATATCATCACCATTTGCTGAGTAAGGGCCAATTGTATACTATACATTCTTAATTATATGCTTAAAACACATTGTGAAGATGCTTGCAGTCTCATCTAGATGACAAACAGAAGTTTTAGAGGGAGGTAACATGCAGTCATTTTACACAGATCCTGTGCCTGCCAAACCCTGCAGAAGTCTGGCTGTGTCTGATGGCTCCAGCAGTGAGATTCAGTTCTTGGGCTGCAGCTCTGCCAGGAGTGCCAAGGAAAAGTCCTCATTGTTTTACAGCCAATACTTGTGATGTTTAATCTCCCAGATGGGTATGTGGGGATCAGGATTCCTGTAACCCCATAAGTAGCAGTTGTGAACATGTCCTGGCTTAGTTCAGGATTTGGAGTGACACTCCTGTCCCTCTGGGCTTCAGACTGTCCATGCTGGTTGTTCTCTTTTGACTCTTCTTTCTCCTGTGTTGTCCATGTCTTTCCTCATCCCTCAGCCTCTTATTTGGATAAATATTAAGATCAGAATTGGTAGCAGCAGCAGCATGGATAATACTGAGCTGAATTTTAAAACCTCTATCCGCTTTTCTCTCTCTCTTACAACAGCACATTTTTGAGTGGTGCTCCACAATACCTAAAAAACCCCCTAAACCCTAAAAGTAGGGGAGAAATATCCAGGTCCAAGTCTCAGTAAAATCACTTGTAGCACTTGTTGGATGCTGAATCACAGACTAAAAATCCACATCTGACACCCTTGGCTAGAAATGTCATCTGTCTCATTGTTACATACTCACCTGCTGCTCATGTCCAGAGTGCAGAGAAAAGGTGCCCTGTGAGATGCAGTTCAGGTGCTCATTTGCAACAGAGACCCTTAGACACTTCTGGTTTCAGGCTTTCAGGTGAGCATTGCCAGGTGAAAGGACCCCAAAACAGATCAGGGATGCTGTGGAGATGGGTAACAGCATGGCACAGACCTTTGTAAAAATCCTTCTGTACCTTTGTGCATGGCTGAGCTTTCACAAACTTCCAAATTTGAAGTGCCAAATAGCCAGAGAGGAGCACAGGGTGTTTGTCAGTGAGCATAAATAGGCAAATCAGCTTGGCAACTGGTAGTTGATTTCAACCTTAGAGGCCAGAAGTATCAGCTCTGGTTGTATTTGGACACATGTTACATTTTGTACATTGGTTCAAGAAGTAATTCTGAACTAAAATACATATTTTTTGGCCAAGAGAAGATGGACCTGAAGTGTGACACAGAAACAGACCATGGTGCTTTTGATTCATGACGGACACTTGGTAACGCTGATACTTAGAGGCTTAATAAATCTACCTTAGCAAAAGCTTGTCTGGATGTTGAATTAACAGTGTCTTCTATTTGAATTTAATGACTTCTGTAAAGAGACAATCTCCAATTTGTGGTCATCCTGACATTATATAGAGCTAAAATAAGACTTGTTGCCATAACTGCTGTATTTTGTGTAATCTTGAAGCTGTCTCAAAGATACAGAGCTCTTAAGCAGTTTTGTCTGATTACAGGATTTTGTAATAATGACGACCTTGGCACTGCAGTAAGTCTGGTTTTGGGTTTTTTGGTTCTTCCTTTTGAGGCGGGCAGACTGGGGGAGGGAGGTATCCTGTTACATTTCTTCATGTGAACTCTTGCAGCAATGGGTATCCTACCTGGGTATCAATAGTGTTTTGATTTCTCTAAGGCCCTCTGAACACCTGGCAAGGCTTCTGCCATAAACACTGACTGCTCAGGGTCTTTCTTCAGGGAAGGTTGCTAGTTACAGATTAACTGCCAGGAGAGATTTATGGCTCCTAAACAGCATTAGAGAATGCTGTCCAAAAGACAGCATTCTTATTTCTAGTCTTTAGGGCTCAAATCCAGCTGGTGGAGGGGCTTGAAATTTTGGGTTCTGTCTTGGCTTCTGCTATGAAACTGTGTCCTGACAGACTGTAGCACTTCATTGACGTAAATGAATTATTCATGGGAGCTGGGACTGTAATATCCAGGAGAGAGAATGAACATGTGAAGCTAAAACGTCTGTACACCAGTGTGAGGAATACACAGGAGGAGCTCAGCGTCAGCATGTGCCAGAAATGATTGATGTGCATTTCAGTGACTTTGGAGATAAACAGCAGCACTGGATCACAGACCTGTCTGTTGCTAGGAAAGCCTGGAGGCACTATGCTGAGCACCAGCAGTGTATTTCCAAAGCTTGGGAATCTCAATGGTTTGGGTTGGAATGGGCTGTTCAATGTCCTCTAGTCCTCAAACACTTCCAGGTATGGGTACTCACAACTTCTCTGGGCACCCTTTTCCTGTGTCTCACCAACTTCATAATAAAAACTTTCTTCCTTAATTTCACTAAACTGTTCCTCTTTCAGTTTAAAGCTGGTGCCCTTTGTCCTGTCACTACAGCCCCTGGTAAAAGTCTATAGTTACTGTAAGCCCCTTTTAAGTACCAAAAGGCTGCAATATGGTTACCTAGAGCTTTTCCCAGCTTTCCCCACCTCCCTCACCCTTTCCTCAAAGGACAGGTGTACCAGCCATGGGATCATTTTTGTGGGCTTCCTGTGGATTT